TATGTAATTAATGTATGTAATTAATGTATGTAATTAATGTATGTAATTAATGTATGTAATTAATGTATGCAATTAATGTATGGAATTAATGTATGTAATTAATGTATGTAATTAAGGTATGTAATTAATGTATGTAATTAATGTATGTAATTAATGTATGTAATTAATGTATGTAATTAATGTATGTAATTAATGTATGTAATTAATGTATGTAATTAATGTATGTATGTATGTATGCATGCATGCATGTATGTATCTATGTATGTATCTATGCATGTATCTATGTATGTATGTATGTATGTAACTATGTATGTATGTATGTGCGTATGTGTGTATGCGTATGTGCGTATGTGTGTATGTGTATGTGTGTGTATGTATGTATGTATCTATCTATCTATCTATCTATCTATGAATCTATCAATCTATCTATGTATCTATGTATCTATGTATCTATCTATCTATCTATCTATCTATCTATCTATGTATGTATCTATGTATGTATGTATGTATGCATGCATGCATGTATGTATGTATATATGTATCTATGTATCTATGTATCTATGTATCTACGTATCTATGTATCTACGTATCTATCTATCGTATCTATCTATCTATCTATCTATCTATCTATGTATCTATCTATGTATCTATGTATCTATGTGTCTATGTATCTATGTGTCTATGTACCTATGCATCTATGTATCTATGCATGTATGTATGTATCTATCTATCTATCTATGTATGTTTGTATGGATGTATGGATGTATGGATGTATGGATGCGGGGATGTATGGATGCGGGGATGTATGGATGTATGGATGTATGGATGTATGGATGTATGGATGTATGGATGTATGGATGTATGGATGTATGGATGTATGGATGTTGATGTTGATGTTGATGTTGATGTTGTGTGTATGAATGAATGACAGTATGAATGTGTGTATGCAAGTATGTAATGTATGTATGTATGTAAGTATGTAGGTATGTAGGTCTGCAGGTCTGCAGGTATGTAGGTATGTAGGTCTGCAGGTATGTAGGTATGTAGGTCTGCAGGTATGTAGGTATGTAGGTACCTAGGTATGTAGGTGAAATATGAGGTTCTCCATCCAAAGTGGTGCAAATACCATGGAAATATGAGGTTTTGCATCCAAAATGCTGTAAATACCATGGAAATCAAAGATTCTAGGTCAGGGAGTAGGGGACCATACCATTGGGGGGGGGCTACGGGACCGGGGACCGGGATCATAATTCCAGTGAGGTGACGTCCTCCGGCCTGCGTGACCGTCTGCACCTGAAACGTGACCGTGTTCACCTGAAACGCGATGTCGGCGTTGTCGTCATAGGGCCCCAAATGATAGCTGGATGGGTTTATTTCCATGGAAAATACCCTCTGGTAAACTAACATAGCTATTGAACATTGCCATTGATTGTTGATTTACTAGTAAAAATTGTGATTTTCTATAGCTATGTTAGTTTACCAGAGGGTACCCATCGAAAATGGGAGAACTGGGGGTACCCCCCATTTTTATGAGGAAACCTCTGCGGATCATTCAACAAAAAACCCATCGGTTTGTCGCAAAAAGTCATGGGGACCCCCAATCTCGTGGCTTCGCCATGTTTTATGGCCACTAACTGGTGTATCCCCCATTTTCCGTACATTTGCATCACTCTTTAACCACCGAAAATGTAAATGTCTAACCTTACCAAAATGGAATTACAATATATGGAACACTGCCAAATACCCATTTATCACCGTTGAAACCAATGGGCACAAATGATATACCCTCTGCCAATGAAACATGGCAATGGCAAACCCACTATATATATGTAGATGATGTTAGCATTCAAACCTCCGTTTAGTTCGGGGATTCCCCAGCTAGCCACGTTTGATGATTGGAGGGTAAACGTGATTTCAACAGATGGAGGTACTGTACCTAATCTTAATAAAGCAATAGTAAACCATCCCCAATTTTACAATGGGTGGTAATTATAAACAATCAACATAAATCAATGTATGGGGACCTAATCATTGATTTACTTGCATTATGTCATCTCAGTAACCCTGGGTAGTAAGTTCCCGATTCGTGGGAACTATCCCACTAATAAATAAATATTTAAAAGTGGCTATTATAACCAATTAGAAAGGTTTCTAGACAAGGCTCCACTTATAAGTGGTAACCATAGTCACTTATCGATGAGATAGTGGTTAGTTACCAGTGTTGTAAATGTTGCTCCATCACCAACCACTTAGAAAGGTTTCTTAATAGAGAATCGAGCGAGAATGCCTTAGATACGATTTGGGTAACTTGGGTCAATTAATCTTAATAGACTCCACTTTTCATTAACCACCAATAATTCCAAACTAAACACTCTAGGCCTTGTTTTTCTACTAACCACTTTTTTTTAACCACCAAATGTTGCTCCACGGTGCCTTCGTCTCAACATTGGTCTTGTACTCCAAGAGCGCGTTGGTCAGCGAGCGCACTTCCGTGGCAGGCACCTCACAGGATCCACAGGATCCATAGGATCCCTCGGGGAGATATGATTTAAATGGTGATTTTTCATGATTATTAATGGTGATTAAACCAATAGTGAAACAAATTAATTGTGATTAAACCAATAGTAATAACCATTAGTAACCATTGAATGTTGATTGAATGGTGATATACAGGTTATTCATGGTGATTTAATAGTGTAACTTATATAACCAACTAGTGTAACTATTGCCTTAACTGTACTTGTAAATGGTGATTTCATGAGATATCAATGTGGATATCATGGTTTACCAACAAACCAACTAACTATCTGCTCCCCTTTAATGGGCTGCGCTTGGAGTTATTAACGGGTAGAACTTAAGTATATTTTCTGAAGCCCCAACTCGTTGGGGTACAGGTCTAGTCTAGCCCTCTTATATTGTGGTTATAAAAAACCACCTGTTGGTGCAGCTGCACCCCCAAGTTAGGATATTTATTTTAGCAACGAGCTACCTCATCCCATCTCAGATTTTTTCACACAGCCTAGAGCCCTAGACTTCGACGGTCCCAATTTCTCCAAATTCTGGGATTTATAAACGAAGAAACATCACTGGGGAGCCTCAATTGCTATGTTTGATGACCAAATGGTAACTAAGTATCCCAAGCAAATGTTATGTTAAATTTAGTTGGGGGGCTTGGATAGAGTAAAAAGGCTCAACTAACTATGCTACGTAGTCTTTATCCAAAGCTGTGGGATATGCAAGCAACGAAGTATAGGGATGTTTACTGGGATATATAACCGGATATATATGATATCTACAGAGCTTTGTCCAAAAACAGGAAATTACCTCATCTATGGCATTTTTGACAGCCCATGATTCTCTGAAATGTTGGGGTAGACTAGTTTCAGACAAACCCAGATCCTTTCGCGCGAAGATATCTTGGATTCGGACTGTGGCCAAACAATTTTTGGGGAGTTGAACTAATTAAGTAAGTATGTGGTTTTCTTGCCAACCGGGGGGTCACGTCCTGGGGGTCCATCAGATATTTTCATGGGCGATTTCTGGTAACTGAACTGAAAAATTGGCTTCTGGGGTCCCCTGAATCGGAGGATCCAATCTTTATACCTCAATAACCAGAAGATGACCAGCTACCATGCGTGATAGATGCTATACTGGGTCATATAGCACACACATATATATATATATATATATATTTATGATAAGGCTGAATCAATTTTTGAACATAGACTCCCCCCAAGACTAAACTTTTTGGGAGAATCCAACATGCCTGGATCCCAAATTTCGCAGCCGGTGACATGCCAAGATACCACGGCTGCCGCATGACGTGTGGCCAGGGAGGTACCTTCCTTGGCGGGACGAATCGAGACGAATTGGTGCTTCGTGGTGTTTTGTTTGGGATATATGATATAACCCACTCAACGAATGTTCTTAAAACAAACATGGGTGTACTAGCCCACTATATATGTGTAACAAATGCTAATCCCATTTGTTGGTAAAACAATCATCAACCATCCCCAATTTCACCATTTTTATAGGTGGTACTGGTAGAATTCCCATTTGGGACTGGTAAAAATGATGGTTTTACCACATAAAATACGTTATTTCTGGTTCCTTCTGGTTTCTTGTTGCTGGTTCCTAGTTTTTTAACCTCACCAGACAGACTTGGAGAATGACAAGCCTTTCATGGGGTGAACTCATGTACTTTACCAGCAGCTGCCAACTGTGAATTTGCCTACTAAAAAAACAGGTATAGGTAATGTATGTACATATATATATATGGATAATTATATATATATATAATTATATATATATGATCATCTATAGAAATCTATTAGTACCATGTCTTAAAACCTATAGAATGCATGTTCCAGCCCTCCAAACTCTCAGCGTCTCCCCTGACACTTTTCGCGCTTTCTTTTCGAGCCCTCTTCAGGGGTGAGACTTCGCGACGCAGGAGCGGAAAATTCACGGGAGATAGTGGCATTGTGTTTGGAAGTAATGGTCTGTCTGCGGAGAAATGGTCACGAAAAAAAGACTTAAAATTATCCTGTGGCGACTTTGGTGGCTTATGCACATCGATCATCAAAGTAATCATAAGTTCATAGATTTAGTGCAAAAAGTACTATTTTACTAAAACTTATGAAGTAATCACCTGATAAAACAGTAAAGTCGGGGATTTACTGCAAAAAGTAGTCATAGGTACATCCCCAACTTATCCTTGTGAAACTTTGGGGATCACCTCGTCTGGTGATTGTCTGATGATTTGGTGTGGATCAGCTCTCAGCATTGACCATGGTAATACAGTGGAATCCACCCACATCTTGCATGTGTATGTTGCATCATGATGAATGAAATCACCGTGTTTGTGAGTAGATTTGCTAGGTCAATATTGGTAAATAGAGGTTTCCTAAGTCATGGGGGGTACCCCAAAATGGATGGTTTATAAGGAAAATCCTATTAAAATTGGATGATTTGGGGGTATCCCCATCACTTAGGAAACCCCAAAGATGGTTCAATCACCATCAAACCTCCAGGCCTCAGTCCATGGTCACCGGAACGCCGGCACGGCGCAGGCGCCATCCCCACAAGTGCTGCCGGCAGAGCCAGAGGCTTCCTAAAACGGCACTCCGGAGATGGAAAAATGGTGGCTTTTACCATGATTTTACCATGCAAAATGAAGGATATAGCTGTTACAGTACCCAAAAAAACGGTTAAACTGTTAAACCATTTTATGTGATTTTACCAAAATAAAGGATAAATGAAGGATAATTGAAGGATATAACTGATACAAGCATTACCAAAGAATGGTTAAACTGATGTAACCATCAAAAAATGATGATCTTACTCACCAGAATGTGGGTTTTACCAGCAGAACTTTGGATTGGACCAACTAAAAAAGAGAACAATTTGGAGTTGATAAATAGAAACCAATTTGGAGTTAATCAGGCAGATTTGGGATTATATAGTCAAGAAAAATAGGGAGTTCAGCAGGGTTTAGGGTTTGGACTAATAACAAATGGACTTAAAAATCTCAAAATGTGGATATGATATGATATGATATGATATGATATGATCAGATGAAAATTGGTTTGTAACAAAATGATTGAATCATGTTTAATATATTTTAATATTATATATTCAATCAGAACAAATGGATTTAAGCAGCACTATTATACAGGCTATACAGGTAAATATGGTGCGAAACCTCCGTGAAAGGTGGGGAAAAATGGGAATTTAGTAGGAAGCAATGGATTTTACACCAACCGGAATCCAAGGAATACAACAGGAATATAATGGGAATAGAGTTTTTTTCAAACCAAGTCCCATTATATTCTCATTAAACCATCATATTATGGGAACATAACAGGAATATCAACGGAATTCCCAGTCCCTACAAGTCCATTTTTTAACAAGTCCATAGCGTAGATCAGTAACTGCCTGGTGGTTCCAAGCAGATTTGGGGCCCATGTCACTTGTCACAAAAAACGTGCACGCCTGAGGTTTTTGCATAAAATCCTAGGTTCCCTGCCCAGGGTTGCATACCCAATTTATTTTATAGTCTGTTATGATGACAGCAAACGATATTTAAACCTTAACCTATCATTCACCAAGATTAGCCGAGAAGACTTATGATTTGGGATTGTAATCATTGCTATTTTGACAATTTGAGTAGCAATACTAGAAACATACGTTGGAACTTGATGCATCCTGCGTTGACACTACCATACAGCACTACCCACTTCCGTTTAAGATTGCCTTCTCGGGTCGCCAAACAGACTCCAAATGGCTTCAGGTGTCGAAAGGTCTCAAATTGTGACCACACGTAAAACCCCAAACAATCAGAAATAGCCATGCTGATTTCCCTATGCGTTTGTGAAGAATTCTACATGTTCGCTACAAAACAGTCATGACTGTTTGCGGAAACCACCATTAAAAAATCTCGTAGTTTGGGGTGCTATCTATGCTTTAGTGCTGCCTTGGGTTCCATGGAAGCTGGAGCCATCGTCTTGAGATGCCTGGGCTTCAGGCTGGGGATGGCTGGCTTTTCATCGCCGGGAAATTCAAGTGACAGAGACTGGTTGGCGGTGCAATAACCATCATGAAAAATATGAGTCAATGGGAAGGATGACAACCCATATATGAAATGGAAAATCAAAGCCATGTTTGAAACCACCAACCAGCAGAAATATGGAAACGAGGCTTTCGTTACCAAAAAGAGCTGGGAAGTTTCGGACATTTTATACGTCCTTGGTGACATCCAGGAGCTGGTGAATGCACTTTGCATCACCAACAAGTGCATACCAACATCGTGTCAAATCCAACAGGTTGATTTTGAGATGTGATAGTTCGAGTATGTAGGTGTGTTGGTGTGAAAATAAGGCACTCCAAAATCCACTCTGTTGTATGTACTCATCATTGTCTCATTCAAATAGATTTTGTTTGGGCATACCGCATACCCAATGTTCAGATACAACAAAAATAATTCCAATATATAATAGTTCCAATATATTTTCCATATCTTAGGGTAACTCTCCCATGCAATGTCAACCCCGGATTAATATGTTGATCAATTAGGGGGGTAACACATACTCCCAAAAAGTGAGAAGCAATGGGTACCCCCTCTACTAACGTAAACTGGTTGTTTCTTAATTCTGGCCTACCATCATCAGGATTGCCCTTATCTCGCCCTCAAGAAGGCACAACACTCTTGGGGTCACGGTTCTCAATCCTGGCTTCACCTTTCAAGATAGTAGTACCTTCAAGCAGCAACTTCCAAAAACATCACTCAAATAGAATCAAATTACATCAAACAAAAATATCTTTCGCATGCGAATTCCATAGAATTCCCCATGACTTTCTGCCGCTGCAGCACGGCATCTTCCAGCTCCACGTCCCAGGGCCGCAGCGTCGCAAGGTCACCCCGGAGCCAACGGCCTCAAGGTCATGGTGAAAGTCATACCACAGCTATGAGGCTATGAACATGATGAACTATAGTTGTAGAGTTATAGATAGTTTATAGTATGTTTAAGCATAGTTCTGGTGAGGTATAAAATTAGTATACCAAAATAACTTGAATGGAATTGACTTTTTTGTTATAATTTATGAACTATGGCTTATTGGATATGATTAGCTATGTTTAATGGAGTATTAAGTATAGTTCATGGTATTTAATGGATTTATATGATTTAACTGTAGTCATGGTTTGTTAACTATAGTAAACGTAGTTAATGGAGTCATAAACCAACATCACTGGGGGGGCCTCACCTTCTAGGAAATCAGAAGTTTTTTTCTAGTTTAATACTTGAACAATTGGATTATAAGGATATTAGAGTTGGGCTTTTAGAAGTCCATTAGTCCATGTGGATATTATCCCAATACTTGGTGATACTTGTAGGAAACAAGAATACTTGGATGGGATTGCCTTAGGCAGTCCATGCTTTTTGTTGGAAAAAATGTGAGAGTTCGCCACTGCCACCATCCCCAAGTAGCCTGGGACTTTGGAAAAAGGTGGCACTGTGGCACTGGCGAAAAACCACACCACCATTAGATGGATGGAAGGTGTTGACCCCACGGACAACAAGATATTAGTACTGGGACAATGTCTTCATATATACGCCATATATATCCTAATATATACCATCCACCAATACCAACAATGTGATGGCAAAATTTAAATAATATCAAATAAGAATGGGGATTCAGACCAATCCTAGTGAGATTGAAATGGAATCATGGGATGAACTTCATGGCTATAATCCAAATAATCATGGCCAATCCTAGACACCCTTTCCCAAAAAAGCACAGAGATAAAACCTTGGCTGGTTAGGATTGATATCTCCCCATGTTGATCGCAACAGGCTGGTATCAAGCATTTTCTCCCCAAATGTGGCTGTCATTTACCCACAGTATCCCACAGTTGAATGAAGGCGCCTGTTTCACCACAGAAAGGACATGTTTCCTCGCATTTCATCAAGCTGTCCTCATGTTTGACGAAGGGTCACGGGTCCATATCAAAGCTGTGTTAAGTTTGAGCATTGGCTGTGTTCAACCCTCCACCAAATTGGGGTTGTACCATCAAAAATATGGAAGAATGTATTTGATAAATTTATGATTCGTTGGTTGATGATTAGTTTGCGGGTTACACTAATCATAAGCGATGAACTGGGAATCACCTTCTTCAGCAACAGAGGGGATTGGACGATGTATCTGGTGTTCCCTAAAACAATCATCGAGACCACCACGAGTTGGGGACGGCATGTTTATCAAACCAGTTGATTTTTCCACGCGTTCAAGAAGAAAATAATCTGAGTTTCTGTGGAAATGACGTACTATTTGGTTATTTAACATAGCCATGGAAAATCACCATTTTTAATAGGTAAACCATCTATAAATGGACCATTTTCCATGGCTATGTTAGTCATAACCAGAGGGTACTATTTGAATGGCCATCAATTGGGGCCCCGATTTTTGGACCATGGCCACAACTCTCGAAGGCCGTTTTGTCAAAAACCGCTGAGTGCTCCCCTTGGACAAAGCCACTAATGAATGGTCTATTTCCTGGTTTGAATATGGTTCGTACAGGATCATGATGGTGTTGACCCCCGGTGAATATGTGATCCAAAGGCCCCGCTTGCGGCCTTGGGTTTTCCATATGGGATTCGTTCAGAAGTCCGAGTAAACCAAGGAACATATGCAACCATATAAGCATCCATTACCATCAACCAAAAGTGGGTTTTGGGCAGTGCTCGAACGCGGGACGTCAGTCATCTTCTATCATGTTCGATCATGTTGGATCATGCTTAAAACGGATGTTCCCTCATGTCCCATCATGCTCAATATCATGTTCCATCACTACCAAAATGTTTGATCATTTCCACAATGTCAATCATTGTCCATCAATGAAAACCATAAAGACCATAATTTTCCATCATCAAACCAGCATTGAAACCATCAATTTCCATCATTTTCCCCATGAAAGTTCACATCTTCCATCCATTTCCCATCAAAATTCACATGTTTCATCATTTTCCCATCATTTTCCCATGATTTCCCCATGATTTTCCCATGATTTCCCTAAATTTCCCCATCAAAACTCACATCTTTGGACCACCGGGCCCCCCTCCGAAGCCAGCTTCTGTCGGCAGCTCAGCCAAGAAGTCCACCCGTCCGTTGCTGGCACCGTAGACCTTGATCCAACTGGGAGCACTTGGGAGTGCAGTTCCATTTGGATATACTATTTAACCTCTAACTGTACTAACCAGCTCAGCATTCGTTTTTTTTGGAGTATCTAAGATTCACCATGGTCTATAAATGGACTATCACCTATAAATGGTCTATAAATGGAACTAATGGACCATTTATAGGTGATTGTCCCATTAATAGCATGGTGGATCTTTCCAGTTCGTTATGTAAACGTTTACCAGGTACCCTCTGGTTGTGACTAACATAGCCATGGAAAATGGTCCATTTATAGCTGATTTTCCCATTAAAACCTCCATTTATATAACCTATATATATATTCCACTTATATAACCTCTGGTTATTTAACATAGCCATGGAAAATGGTCCATAGAAATAGATGGTTTACCTATTAAAAATGATGATTTTCCATGGCTATGTTCAATAACCAAAGGGTAACTGGGATACAACTAGGATATAATGGTATATAGAGATATATAGAGTTCCATTTATAAGATTTTATTAAGTGGATATACCATATGGATATACTATATAGCTGGGATATGTGGATATTATACCCTCTCGTTATTTAACATAGCCATGGAACATCACCATTTTTAATAGGTGAGCCATCTATTTCTATGGGCCATCTATTCCATGGCTATGTTAGTCATAACCAGAGGGTATATAACTGGGATATAGAGATATATAGAGTTCCATTTATAAGTGGACCATATGGATATACAATGGTACATAACTGGGATATGATGGTATATAGGCCACTTATAAACCATAGTATACACACCATGTATCACTGGGATATATAACCGTAGTATACCATATTATACCCCAGGTATATGTATATATTATACACATATATAATATATATGTATATATTATATTGTGTGTATGTATATATATATATATCATAATTACTATATTGTATATATATATATATATATTTCATATCATATGGGCTATAAACCACTTACTAACTGGGATGCACACTTATATTTTTTAGAATAAATATAATATGTTGTTATCTAATTACTGGGATAAATATCTCAACATCTTTGGAATCTTTTAGACTTTCGGATTGTTGACATCTGTGGGTTCTTCTGAGAAGGTCCTCTGAAGTTTGGTTCCTTTTTCATCAGCTCCAGAATTGCAATAAAATGAATGTCCGAAATTCGGACAAACGCGTTTAATGATAGTAATCATGTTAGATATGTATAGATATGTGATATTACTTGGTGATTTTCACTTCTGAAATGCTGAACCACAACTAGCTGCAACACTTCTTAGATCCGAGAAACCTGCCTGGGCGCTGCGAAATTATCGTGAGGCCCAAACCCCAATGCCCAATGATATTGCAGAAACAGCATGGGATAAAAATTTCAAGCCCTGCAGCAAGTCTGTGTCATTGGGTTTCACTTTGCCGAAACTGCATCTAGTTTAACAGTTAATTGCATACAAACTACAAGAAAACTACATGCGAACCCACAAAAGCAAAACATTATTCAATGAGAGTATAAAGAAATCAAAAATTATATCGCTGTCGGCAAAATCGCACAAAAAATCCAATGTGACAATCAAACATGAAAAATTGGGAAAGGTTTGGCCTCCCTCGCGATTAAACTCTTACAACGTTGTGTTTTGGACAGTTAGAATTTCCCCCTGCGCAACGTTTGTCTCTGACACCGACTCTGTTAGTCTTGCGTTGGGATCTCAAATAAACGCTTGCACTGCAGGAAAGGTCCCCTCAGTTGCAACTTGCCTTGGAAAAGAATTACAGGAAGCAAGTTATAAACAAATTGACTTGTCTAGGAGGCCCGTTTTTTTTTTGGCCCGAATAAATGTACCTGCTCGGGTACGACCTCAAGTCAAGGTCAGCCTGCGTTCTAGTTTAGATTGGTTTCTGGTCGTAGCTATAGCAGTGGCATGATTTGTTCTATATAGCTTTAGATTCGGTTGGGTGATCTTGTTCTAGCTTTAGGTATCTTTAGGTTATATCCTAGTTGTAACTATGGCTAAAGTTTGATCTTTACTTTCAGATCTCTTCCTTGGAATTTTGGATGTTCCTCCTTTTCCTCCGCTTCCTCCTCTTCCTCCTCTTTCTTCTTCAACTTTTTTTCCCTCCTCATTCTTGTATGTCGTTGCTCCGGCCAGCCCCTAAGATGCTGTATTGTTCCACGTGTTCTCAATGTATAAGTCAAGAGTGAGCTATAACACATAGCTTTTGCGCCAACCAATTTTACACCATTGCCCTTTCAAGCAATCAAGGCATTACACCAACCAGCTTTTGCACAGACTGGCTTTTGCACAAGCTAGCTTTTACGCAAACTAGTTTTTACACAAACGAGTCTTTTACACCAACTAGCCTTTACAAACCAAATTTTACACCAATTACCCTCCGGTCATTTAACATAGCTATGGAAAATGGACCATTTATAGGTGAGTGTCCCATTAATAGCATGGTGGATCTTTCCAGTTCGTTAAACGTTTACCAGGCCGGAGGCACGTGAGCCCGCGGGGCCCTGGCTGGTTGGTCGTCCAGGTAGCGCCCCACGCGCGTGCGCGAGGTGGAAGCGGTTTTGTTCACCTGTTCGCCTCAAGCAACAAGCGCCTTGTGTTTTATTGGTAATGGGAATATTATGGAATAGTATGGAATAGTATGGAATATTGTGGAATGTTATGGGATGTTATGGGATGTTATGGGATATGTTGGAATGTTACGGGATATGTTGGAATGTTATGGGATATTATGGAGGGATGAATTAAGAATAAAATAACTACAGTAACAATGTAAATAAAGAGAAATAACGAGACCTGTCCGCCTGGCGTCTGAAAATTGCTATGTTCCTGGGGTTCTTCTTGGGACTCGTTCGGTGTGGGATTAGCAACTGGTATGTGTTTGTTGGCTTTAGTTTCCCTAGCTTTGGGTTTTTTGTTGCTATTTTGTAGGTTTTTGTTAGATGAGATAACCCAAGAATCGGTGACTTACTAATATCATCAGGCTTACCAACAGTGCGCGTTGGATGGTGGATAAAGAAATGGCCAAAGATGCCAAGAAATGTGTACGTGCATATATATATGTGATTATGATAATGATTACGTATATGTATATGTTTTTGTATATATGTATGTAATATATATATAGGTATCGGAGATATCAACTGACATGGCACAAGAAAATTAATCAAAATTGGATTTAAGAGATGGAAACGGACAGGAAACTCACAAAATATGAATTTTACCTTTAAAGGCCACAAAATCAACCTGACTGAATAGAAATGAGTTGCCAGTCGGGTACCAGAATTGTGTTGGGTTTGGAAGCACAAATGCTTGGAAAGCACCAACCGGCTACATCCCAAGTTTGGGTGATTGTTTCCCCATTGTTGATGGATATTAAGAAATGCATATAATCATATTAAATATGTATATAAGATATACCAGTTCTCGATGACATACATTTACAAACCCAAAATGTCGCCCATCGTGGACCATTTCCCATTATGGAATTCTCAAATTAGATGGGCTATGGCGGGTGGTTCAGTGGTTAGGAAATCGATTAAAATCCATTATATAGCACTTACAAGGGAATGTAGGTGTATATATATATATATATATGCACATACATACATACATACATACACACATATATATATATATATACCACAGACTTTTTTCTAGAAATCTGAAGGGAAACCCCTAATGGGGATCAAAACAAGGGTTGCCTGCAGATTCCCTTTGCAACCAGTCCAATGTGTATGTATATATATATATATATGTATCTATTTATTTATGTATTCATTCATTTACTTACTTATTAACTTATTTAATATGTACATAAATATATATATACATATACACATGTAAACATATATGTGTGTATTATTTAGATGTACAGTATATATATATATATATACGTAGATAGATACCCAAATGACGATAACTCGAGCCATCATTTCCTACTCGGCTTCATCCATCGGTGCCAGGGCACAGAAGAACGCGGTGAAACCAAGTTCTTTGAGAGTCCGCCCGGCGATGCACAAGCGGCGGCTACCTGTGGAGCTGGAGCTCACGTGGGGTTTCGTGGTGTTCTATCTGGGCAAAGTTACTAATGTGGGTAAAACAATAATAAACCATCCCCCAGTCATCACCATTTTTATAGGTGGTATTTTCTCCATTCCCAGTCATGGGTGGTAAACATGGCATTGATTGTTTTACCCACATTAATGATATATTATATATATCTCACAAATAGTAGTGATGAATATCCCATTATTTCCATTATTCCTGTGATACCATTAGTGATATCACCATTTTTATAGGTAGTATAAACCATGTGTTTTCCCCCCCAAATGGGATATTCATCTGATATATATTGATATATAATTATACTATATCATCCCATGATTCAAATGATACTCGGCAAAGTTACTACAGATGATTTCCGTGCATCCCAAAGTCTGCCAAAGCCTTTTAGGGCAGGTCTTGATGAGGTCCAGCACCACTTTTGCATCCCCAAAAAAGGTCCATTTTAATGGTTGCTGGGATGGTCCAAAAATCAGTTTAACACATTGGATTTCTGTACTAAAAACGAAAAATCCCTATAAATGCTTGGTTTCATCAGAAAAATATTCATGAAAATGACCAATTTAAATAGATGGTTAGACCCCAAATTTGGCTGGTTAAATCTTCCATGTTTGGTGAATTGCCATGCCCCCTCAGAACAACGGTTTAGCATCTATTCATTGTGGGGGTCCAAACATTGGGGTATTTCATCCTAGGGGGATGGGATTCGTCATTCTCAACGATTGTTGATCCATTTATCTATCATTATTATGAAGATAAATTGAAGCATCCATTATTATGAACCATTGATTGGGATTTATCAGTGTTGATCCATTTATCAAAAATTAACGACCATGACGAACGATTAAATCCCACCAAATCTCGATAAATCCCGTTAAATTCCATTACAATCCCACCACAGTGGCATATCACCTCCTTCCATCCGCAATCCCATCACTAAATCCCATTGATTCCCACCAAATTCCCAATTCACATCCCAATGAAAATCCCAGTATAGTCCCATTTAAAACCAACCAAACTCCATAAAACATCAGTAAATCATCGTAAATCCCATTCAAAAATCAAGAAAACTCCATAAAACTCCAGTAAATCCGGCTTGAAATCCCCTTGGAATTCCTCCCATTTCCCGTGGCTCAGCTCCCAGTCGCAGGGCAAGGAGATGCTGACGATGTTCTGCGCCATCACCGCACGGCCGCCAGGGCCGCCACGCCAAAGGCTGCCGAAGCCATCGATGGCCTCGAGGTGGTGAAGGTGGCGCACTTCTCACCGGATAATAAAACAGGAAAATTCATGGAAATTCACCCAAAATAGTATGTATGTATGTATGTAATGTAATGTAATCTAATGTAATGTAATGTAATGCAATGTAATGTAATGTATGTAAATAATGTATGTATGTATGTATGTATGAATGTATGAATGTAATGTAATGTAATCTAATCTAATGTAATGTAATGTAATGCAATGTAATGTAATGTATGTAAGTAATGTATGTATGTATGTATGTATGTAAGTATGTAAGTATGTAAGCATGTAAGCATGTAAGCATGTAAGCATGTAAGCATGTAAGTATGTAAGTATGTAAGTATGTAAGTATGTAAGTATGTAAGTATGTATGTATGTATGTATGTTTGTATGTATGTATGTATGTATGTATGTTATGTATGTAATGTATGTAATGTATGTAATGTATGTAATGTATGTATGTATGTATGTATGTATGTATGTAAGTATGTAAGTATGTAAGTATGTAAGTATGTAAGTATGTATGTATGTATGTATGTATGCATGTATGTATGTATGTATGTATGTAATGTATGTATGTATGTAAGTATGTAAGTATGTAAGTATGTAAGTATGTAAGTATGTAAGTATGTAAGTATGTATGTATGCATGTATGCATGTATGCATGTATGCATGTATGCATGTATGCATGTATGCATGTATGTATGTATGTATGTATGTATGTATGTATGTATGTATGTATGTTATGTATGTTATGTATGTTATGTATGTATGTATGTATGTATGTAATGTATGTAATGTAATCTAATGTAATGTAATGTAATGTAATGCAATGTAATGTAATGTATGTAAGTAATGTATGTATGTATGTATGTATGTATGTAATGTAATGTAATCTAATCTAATCTAATGTAATGCAATGTAATGCAATGTAATGTAATGTATGTAAGTAATGTATGTATGTATGTATGTATGTATGCATGTATGCATGTATGCATGTATGCATGGATGCATGTATGCATGTATGCATGTATGCATGCATGCATGCATGCATGCATGTATGTATGTATGTATATATGTATATATGTATGTATTGATGTATGTAATGTATGTAAGTATGTATGTATGTAAGTATGTATGTATGTATGTAATGTATGTATGTATGTATGTATGTAATGTATGTATGTATGTATGTATGCATGTATGTGTGTATTCATGTATGTAATGTATGTAATGTATGTAATGTATGTAATATATGTAATGTATGTAATGCATGTAATGTATGTAATGTATGTAATGTATGTAATGTATGTAATGTATCTATGTAAGTATGTATGTATGTTTGTATGTATGTAATGTATGTATATATGTATGTATGTATGTATGTAAGTATGTATGTATGTATGGAAGTATGTATGTATGTAATGTAATGTAATGTAATGTAATGTATGTATGTATGCATGTTTGTATGTATGTATGTATTTATGTTTGTATGTATGTATGTTTGTATGTTTGTATGTTTGTATGTATGTATGTATGATGTATGTATGCATGTATGCATGTATGCATGTATGCGCGTATGCATGTATGCATGTATGTATGTATGTATGCATGTATGCATGTATGCATGTATGTATGTATGCATGCATGCATGTATGTATGTATGTATATATGTATATATGTATGTATTAATGTATGTAATGTATGTAATGTATGTAATGTATGTAATGTTTGTATGTTTGTATGTTTGTATGTATGTATGTTTGTATGTTTGTATGTTTGTATGTTTGTATGTTTGTATGTATGTATGTTTGTATGTTTGTATGTATGTTTGTATGTTTGTATGTATGGATGTATGTATGCATGTATGCATGTATGAATGTATGCATGTATGCGTGTATGCGTGTATGCATGTATGCATGTATGCATGTATGCATGTATGTATGTATGCATGCGTGTATGTATGTATGTTTGTATGTATGTATGTATGTATATTTGTATGTCTGTATGTATGTATGTATGTTTGTATGTTGTTATGTATGGATGTATGCATGTATGCATGTATGCATGTATGCATGTATGCATGTATGCGTGTATGCATGTATGCATGTATGCATGTATGCATGTATGCATGTATGTATGTGTGTATGTGTGTATGTATGTATGCATGCATGTATGCATGCATGCATGTATGTATGTATGTATGTATTGATGTATGTAATGTATGTAATGTATGTAATGTATGTAGTGTATGTAATGTATGTAATGTATGTAGTGTATGTAATGTATGTAATGTATGTAATGTATGTAATGCATGTAGTGTATGTAATGTATGTAATGTATGTAATGTATGTAATGTATGTAATGTATGTAATGTATGTAGTGTATGTAATGTATGTAATGTATGCAATGTATGTATGTAGGTAATGTATGTAATGTATGTATGTATGTAATGTATGTAATGTATGTAATGTATGTAATGTATGTATTGGATGTAATAAATGTAATGGATGTAATAAATGTAATGTATGTAATAAATGTAATGGATGTAATGGATGTAATGTATGTATGCATGTATTCATGTATGCATGTATGCATGTATGCATGTATGCATGTATGCATGTATGCATGTATGGATGTATGGATGTATGTTTGTATGTTTGTATGTATGTATGTTTGTATGTTTGTATGTCTGTTTGTATGTATGTATGTATGTTTGTATGTTTGTATGTATGTATGTTTGTTTGTATTTTTGTATGTTTGTATGTATGTTTGTATGTATGTATGTATGTTATGTATGTTATGTATGTATGTATGTATGTATGTATGTATGTATGTATGTAAGTATGTATGTATGTATGTATGTATGTATGTATGTATGTATGTATGTATGTATGTATGTATGTATGTATGTATGTATGTATGTATGTATGTATGTATGTTATGTATGTTATGTATGTTATGTGTGTTATGTATGTTATGTATGTTATGTATGTTATGTATGTTATGTATGTTATGTTATGTATGTATGTATGTATGTATGTATTTTTGTATGTATGTATGTATGCATGTTTGTATGTATGTAATGTATGTATTTATGTTTGTATGTATGTATGTTTGTATGTTTGTATGTTTGTATGTATGTATGATGTATGTATGCATGTATGCATGTATGCATGTATGCGCGTATGCATGTATGCATGTATGTATGTATGTATGTATATACATATATGTATTATCTATAAATGATTTGTACAGATTATCTATATTGGTTACATATCATATATTATGTTGTAACTTTATGAGAACAACAATCATGATAGTATTAAATACGTGTGTTGACATGCATTAATATTGTCATTGTATTGTTAGCATCATTATTCAATGTACATACATATATATATATATATGTATATATGTATATATACATATATATATATATATATATTTACATATAAAATCATATACAATGAATCTGCATCGATGTATCAATATGTTTTGGATGTCTACTCTATATACCAGTAGCACCGCACCAGGCGGTGGCGGAAGTTTCAAACATGGGAAACCCATAGGAGAGGTGAGTTGTTGTGATTCATGGATGGCAGAGCAAACTGATGGACAGAAAGGTGGTTGAGGCTCTGAGTCCCTCTCTCTCTCTCTCTATCTCTCTCGGTCTCCTTCTCTGTGTGTGCGTGTGTCTCTTTATCTAAACCGCACCTATTTCTATAATAGTGTTGCCAAAACATCCCATCAATATGATATATATATATATAATGATATGTTTTTATCTATCTAGCTAGCTATCTATCTATCTTTCTGACCATCTGTAGTCCATCCATCTATCTGACCATTCTTTTGATCCTCATCTTTCCTACCCCTATGTTCGGACAGAGCCACAAATTTTCTGGAAATGTCAGCCAATTTCAGCAGGCAAATTCTACTTAGATCCGTTCCCTGGATCCTTTCCCTAATTCTAGACCTAGATCCCTAGAATTCCACTTTCAATTGACGTGTGATATTATCCTAATCTGGTAAATAGCACTTCTGGGTCCTAGAATTATCTTTCTTAGACCTATATAGTCTGGTTAAGTTATCTGGTGAAAAATTATCCAGTTATTGAAGATCTCTCAACAAAAAGGGGATGCAATCTCCAACAGATATGCAGACATGTGATGTCCAAAATCTCTAAAAAGGGATATGTCATAGAATTGGATGATGGGAAAATTTTAACCGGAAAGCCCGATCAATTTGATGGTAAAAACCCATGGGTTTCCGGTTAAGATTTTCCCCAACAAACCAATCCAGTGAATATAGCCCCAGTTATAAGTTGGTTTATAAACCCTAGTAACTATAGTTATAACTACCATAAACCATAGTTATTGGAGTGAATATGGAAACCAACCCCATCCAACCCCTGTTTCCCCAGCACGTCTCGGTCCAAAAAAAAGCCTTCGCCTGCGGCTCTTCATGTCGAGCCTGGAGTCCTGGAAGTTCTCCATCAGCTTCCGGCGGCACCTCGTCGTAGCCTGCTGTGTATTGTGAAGGTCCGAAGTGGGTTTTCATCATATATAAAGGGTCATCCATAAATCTTGAATATAGCATTTATATACCATTGATGGAGTGGGTTAGAAGATTTATATCATTTACAACTGGATTCATGTAAAGTAACCACCAAACAGATGCAGAAAAGATTGAACCTATCACTTTTAGTGTGGGCCTCACTGTTCTATCTTTTTGGGCCTTCCTCTAGATAGATAGAGATAGAGATAGAAATAGAAATTGATTGAGATAGGGATAGTGATAGAGATAGAGATTGATTGATTGATTGATTGATTGTTTGATTGATTCATTGATTCATTGACTGATTGATTGATTATTGGCTTATCAATCACCAGTTCCAGTGCGATCAAGTCTCCCAGATCGCTTGGTCTCAGTTGCAGCAGCACGCTGGGCGCCATGTGGATGGGCACGCCCATGTTGGCCAACAGAGTAGTGATCAACGGATGCGGGAAAGGTCCTGGGAATTCGGAAATTCGCCCGTGTGGTTGGTCATTCTGGTTGATCAACCATGGCCTTTTCAAAAAAAGTGTTGGAGCGGCTTTGGGGCACCTTTCGATGTTTTTAGACTGCGAGGCTGCGGATCAGCCCCCGGCGTTGTTTTCTGGGAATAGAAGAAGAACCCCGCGGCCAAGTCACATTGGTCATCTCATCTTCGACATACGAATAGAATGAGAGACATATCCCCACCAGATATGTCAAGCTACGACTGGAGGATCATCCCAGGAGTCAATGGGTCGGTCCCTGGTGATCAAAAGTCCCATCTTCTGGATGTCAAAAATACCATGACTGGATGATAACCAGCAGAAACGAAACAAGTTAGCCTCTGGTAAAGTAACAGTTCGCGAACTGGAAAATCACCATGCTATGAAAATAGGTAAACCATCTATTTTTATTGGCCATGGCTTCCAGTTCGCGAACTCTTAGTTTACCAGAGGGTTTTGTGGGTTGATCCTCCAAGCCCTGGTCCTGTGCTGCAGAGCATGTAGCTTTGCCATCCCGTGGCAATGTCAGATCGCGTGAACCTCGGTCGGCAGGGGGAAGCCACGAGGGAAGTGCTCCGAATGGCTTTAGATATATCCAAAACTAAAGCACATGAGCCATTTCAAATATCCTATCCCATCTCATTATGCTAGCTGGTTGATAGGTTCCCCTACTATGGCTTATCATCATTCCCCGATAATTGGGTAGTATATCCATGTATATAACTCCCAACCAATCAATCACGGTATTTTCTTCATGGCTCATGGGTTTCTTCAGCACGCCGAGTTGCCCAGAGCCCTGGTAGTAAGCCACCCCAGCACACAGCGGGCACAGTGGCAAACACTCCGCGGCCAAACGCCAACGGTGCAGCAGCTGCGAAATCCTCGGCGCTGGGGGCCCAGCAGCCAGTTGGCCATGGTTGATGGGGTGCCGTTGTTGACCTGTCTTTGCCATAAAAGGACCGGCGGAACATCGAACTGTAGGGTTTTTCCTCGCCATCTGGTAGATATATATATATATCACCAACCATGAGCAATTGGGAAGATCACCAGCGAAAATGCGGTTTTACCCTCTGGTAAACGTTTACAAAACTATGGAAAATCACCATTTTGAATGGGAAAATCAACAATTTCTATGGCCATAATCAATGGCTTTTTGTATGTTTACCGGAGGGTAAGCAACCAAGATGGATCCTTAAACTGATTCAAATCATGGCCGATTTTTGCCAGGTGTCCATCGATAGTCCAGGGCTGCCCAATGCTGCAGTGGGAGCTGCCGCAGTTCGGGGCCTCGCTTCTGCCGTCGAAGATAGCGAGCAAATGGATCAAGCTATTCCTCCCGACGTAATCCATAGATTTCTCAAAGGGGGGGTGAATTGCATGGGGATATGTTTTGTTTTTCCCCACCTGCCAGGTGAGGGTTGTTAGATTTTATCAGAGCTGTTCTCCTCCTCCTCCTCCGCCTCCGCATCCGCCTCCTCCACCTCCTCCGCCTCCTCCTCCTCGCAGTCCAGATCCCAGTGGGCACTGCCGGACCTCCACCGCGAGCGCCAGATCCCAGTGGGCACTGCCGGACCTCCACCGCGAGCGCCAGATCCCAGTGGGCACTGCCGGACCTCCACCGCGAGCTCCAGATCCCAGTGGGCACTGCCGGACCTCAACCGCGACTTCCAGGTTGCAGTGGGCACTGCCGGACCTCAACCGCGACTTCCAGATCGCAGTGGGCACTGCCGGACCTCAACCGCGACTTCCAGATCGCAGTGGGCTCTGCCGGACCTCAACCGCGACTTCCAGATCGCAGTGGGCACTGCCGGACATCAACGGGAAGAAAAGATGTCAGATAGAATGTCAGAAGATATGCCAGATAGAATGCCAGAAAGAATGCCAGAAGATATGCCAGACAGAATGTCAGAAGATATGCCAGAAAGAATGTCAGAAGATATGTCAGATAGAATGTCAGAAGATATGCCAGATAGAATGCCAGAAAAAATGTCAGAAGATATGCCAGAAAAAATGTCAGATAGAATGCCAGAAGATATGCCAGATAGAATGCCAGAAGATATGCCAGATAGAATGCCAGAAGATTTGCCAGATAGAATGCCAGAAGATATGCCAGAACATATGCCAGAAGATATGTCAGATCGAAAGCCAGAAGATTTGCCAGTAAGAAAATGTATAAATGTCATGGTGCGGATCATTCGAAGTGAAGTAATTTAAATACAGTATAGATATGTATGTATATATTTATACAGTGTATACATACATATATATATATATGTAGATATATATATATATAGATATTGGGTATATTAAGTATATAATGGAGAGGTAACAATCCCTAGTTGTAGCAGGTCTCAAGAGGTGGTAAGCCCTATGTTTGTTGGTGTATGTTCACCCATGGAGATAGTTCTTTCATCACCATGCTAAATGAGTTCTGTTTAGCCTATCTAGCCCAACTATGGATCAAAACTTCTATGCTCCATGGGCTAGGTGTATTTACCTACATGACTGGAACATGTTGATCAATGTTGGTAAACATTCTATGGAGCATGGAATGTGAAAAGGCCGACAGAGGAATTGTTCAAAACGTTTGGCCCATAAATCCATGTTTATCGAGCAGCTTATGCGGGCTTGATTTCCACAAACTATATATATATATATATAAGTATGGATTCCTAGATGGGAACAAACTGACTCGAATTAGAAAATACCACCAGCTTTTGAGCACTTAAATGGACAATGGTTGGGAAAAATCCATGCATGATCGCTATTAATTTCGAACGATATTTGGGATCCATTGTTTATATTTCACATGTATATATATACATACATTTGAATATAATTGCTATGTCCTCTTAAAGTCCTCGTGTACTTGTAATGTAACTGGATGTAACTGGATGTAACTGGGATGGATCGCAGCTTCGGAACTATCCCAGCACAGCTGATTCAACCCCCATGTTTGCTGAGCTCCAAAAATCCAACGAGATCGCGATGAAAGTCACGGATCAGACATATATAATATTATATAATCCATTTGGGAAATTTCTGGGGTGTTCTTTTCCCACACATATATATATATAATTTATATATAATTTATATATATACTGTCCCCATCATTTGTGAAATTTCAAGCTCATTTTCGCCGATCCCCCCAGCCGGGGCGAGCTGCGAGCGCCCAAGGGTAAAGCCATGAGCTCGGCATCCGCAAAATGGTTCTGGCCAAGCGAGGTTTTTTCCCCAAGGTCCCTGGCAGCTAGGGGTTGGAAGATGAGTTTCCATTAAAACTAGGCTGTTTTCAGGGTCGACAAGTGAAATTTACCAGAGGATATATCATCTATTGTGTCATCCATAAATAAATAGAATATGTACATATGTGTAACTGTGTATATGCATATTAATATGTTAAAAGATATGACTTGCATATCCAATGTCAATCCTGGATGAACGGCTGCGCTTTGGGGAGGTATCATTTGAGTAGCAAATCATCATTATTTTGGGAGAGTACCCTCAATTCATTCAACCAAGGTTGACATTCTCAAGGTAATCTTCTATACCAGCAATCATTCACACCACTACTTCGGACCAGTTGGGGTTATTTTCGTGGGTATAAACATTGCATTAACCCAATAAGTTTGGATACAACGCCCAGAACTAGGGTTGTATAACATGATATGATATAATTAACTAGATATACCCTCTGGTAATTTAACATAGCTATGGAAAATCACCATTTCTAATAGGAAAATCCACTATAAATGGCCGTTTTCAATAGCTAACCGTTAAATTACCAGAGGGTAACCACCATGAACCACCACCCAACCACCACCCAACCCCCTCCTTGATCGGCATCAGCAGCTCTACCCCCGTCCACTGCACCACCGCACTGCCGTTCCGCGCCGCGACGCTCGCGACGCTCTTCGTCGCAGCACGCCACGCGAGGCCGCTGGGGTGCAGCAGGGCGCACCAGCGGCGGCAGATGCCTGGGGGCGGAAGCCACTGGAGGACCATCCTCCAGGGATCCAAAGGTGGTAAATTAGGCGAACTGGAAAATCACCATAGTTATATAGTGATATGATGTATATTATATGGTGATTATCATAGTAATAATAACTGGTATATATATATTCTATTATATAGCTATGATAACTATGGTAATATATTATATGATATATATTATATAGTTATCATAGCTGTTATGTTATGTTAAAGTTATGTGGTAAGTTCGGTAAATCATCTATATGTGAAATTTTCCAGTTCGCGTTAGTTACCTGGATGGCAACTGGGGCCCATCTATTTCAATGGGGTGGTGGTTGAGAACTGGTGCCCACTAAGTGGGCTAATCCAGTCAGAATTGGTGCACTTTACACTTAGTCATGACTGGAGATGACTGGCAAAAAGGTGTGGGTAAATTTCTGTAAAAAGCGCAGATGTGATAAATTTCTATGTATATATATGTAAATTAATGTGCTCTTGGCCATTGAAAAAAATTGAGGTACTCAACGACTTGACCAACTTGACCAAAAAGTCCACATAGAGAATTCGACAAGAAATGAATATGGGATGATACCAACACCAGCAACCTGCAGCAACCTGATTATGTATCTATAGAAATCGAAGGGTATAGAATCTGTAGAATCTGTAAATGGATACCAATAGATATTAACAACGGTTTATATCATCCATAGAAAATATACTTCTACAAACGGTTGCCAACGGATACCCAACCTGAAACATGTTGGATCATGTGGATCATTGGATCCGATCGCAGAAACTGGCCATGTGCAAAATGAGCGGAAAGATTAACCCAATGATTGTGCCAAGTATAAACTATATCCATCTATATCCCATAAAATCCTATGAATGTATTATATTATATTATACATATTATATTATATTATATTATATTATATTATATTATATATATTATATATATATTATATTATATTATATTATATTATATTATATTATATATATATATTATATTATATTATATTATATTATATTATATTATATTATATTATATTATATTATATTATATTATATATATATTATATTATATATATTATATTATATATATTATATTATATTATATTATATATATTATATATTATATTATATTATATATATATTATATATATTATATTATATTATATATATATTATTATATATTATATTATATATTATATATTATATCATAAATATATACATATTATATTATATTATATATTATATTATATTTCATATTTTATCATATATATATATATTATATTAAATATATATCATATATATATATTATAATATATATATATATAATTATATATATATAAATCCCAATTTAGACTAGATTAAGCCCAAGGGACTTCCCAACAACACTCACTCCAAAAACTCTCCACTGTCTCTAGGCAAACCGGGGAAACCCTGGGATCTTTGGGATCTTTGGGTCATCCCAAATTGATACAAATGAGGGGATGGGTTGACCCAATTATAACAGAAATACCCTCTGTATACAATAGGGTTACCCTCTGGTAAATTAACATAGACCCTGGCAGATGGGGTTGGAAGACTAGTTTCCATTAAAAATTGGTGATTTTCAGGGTCTATGTTAATTTACCAGGGGGTATATTGTTATCAAATACCCACCACAAATGGGGATGTACCTGAGAGTATTTATAACATTTTATAACCCTGTGCCTGATGCCGTATAGTGAAGTTTCGTCAAGGGTGCCAAACATGCTGCTTTCAGACAGGCAATGTGTGTTGCGTGGGAACCAATCATCAACCAATCATCTCACCTACACAATGTGATTATCGCTGACACTGACCACAATGAGTTCTCCGGTGTGTGAAGCCAGCTTCACGGCATGACCAACAAACAGCAGGTGTTTTTTCCCCTGAAACCTGGCTACAACAGTGAAAAATGTGAACAATACCTTCCTAGATTTTACCCAAGAACAACCCGGGTTCGTCCTTCGGATCGTAGATCAACTTTGGGTCCCAAGTCCCGAGTCATGGAACGCCTCAACGGCTTCAACCTCACCGCCTTTCAATTGCTGGAAAGGATTCCAAGATTGTCCAACCAATGAAATAGCCAAGACTAAGTATGGCTCAGAACTCCGGGACCAATGTGGAAAAAGCTATTCACTTTGGTGTTCAAAGATCCCATATATGTTTCCACGAAAAAGAAGTGATTGAACTGATGCACTCTTCAAGATTCTGCAAGGTGCTGGCGCAGGTGGTCAAAGCACCGGGCCCCAGTCTGGAAAATAGCCATCGTTCCAAGTCGCCATCATCCCACTGCTCCGTGGTTGGACAGGTGGACCCAGGTGGACCCAGGTGGACCTGGAAGATCCACTTTGAAAACTGCTCCCGGCTGGTGGAAAAAAAAGTCGTTCCCAAAAAAAAATTGGCAAGTGTCAATGTGGCATCATTCCCAGTTCATTGAAAATTGACATGGATCCAAGAAACCCCCACAGATTTGCTAGTGAAAACATGTAAAAACTCTGGTTTCCCATAAAGTTTCCCTTCATGATTAAGCTGTGCCATCAGAACTGCGGTACTTGAGCTCAGAACTGCGGGTTCAACATCGCACTCAAGCACCTCCCATCCGCATGAGGGGCTTTGGCCCTTGAAAGTGTGCCTCAACAGAAGACAATAGCTGTGAATTATTAGCACATGGGTCATGTATCTACTGATGACTATCAACCAACCATCGTCTAGGGGTAGATCATGTTAGATCCTCACTCTTGAAGGTTTATATCATTATTTCATCTGTATAACTCCAAACATAATCTGGTTGGTGGTTTTAACCCTGGAAATACGCTTGTCAATGTTCGAATCATCCATGATCATCCTCCTAGGTTTTTGGGTGGAAAAAAATATATTAAAGATGGATTTGTCTGAAAATGGAGTTTACCCCCAATACCACCCGTAAATGAAAATCTGATAGGGAAGATGACCTATATTTAACCATGAGATCTTGGGTCTTCCTACATTTCCAGAGATTCTCCAAGCCTAAAGTTTCGAGACCACCAACCAGCAGCCATCAGCAGATCCCATGGCATCATGGCCCCTGAGCATCACAGACGTGGCCGAACTCGAAAATGAAGGCGTTGGGCGATGAGGTGGGACCCCTCGCGAAGAAACCATGGACGAATGGCGAAGACGGGATACACGATACGTGGGAAATATCATCGGGATATAATGGGACGTGTATAATATGTATATATATATATATTATACATGTATATATATATTACATAGTATACATATGTATGTACATGTGTATATAGATATATATTACATATATATATATATATTACACACATATATATATATATTACACATATATATATATATCATATTATATATATATGTGTTTATCATATATATATGTGTGTGTTTTTGTCATTTATGTATATATATATATAATCACTTTGGAAAATTTTCAAGGGCTGCTCCCTTTGGATGTTGAGGAAAAAAAACTCATGATGAAATCGGTAGATATATAAGATGAGAAAAATCACGAATGGATCAGCAATCAACCTTGCCTATCATCTCAGAGCAGGCTGTGCTAACAAAACCTCGTCGCCTGATCCCATTTTGTCAAACGGGGAGGTATGTGATGTTTACCCTTTACCCATGTTTTCTTGCGCAAAAACCTGGAAAACAACGTAATTCTGTGTATAACCAAGAATGGCGAATGTTCCACCGCTTCTTGCGTCCCAATCCCAACAAAACAAAAATTCCGAAAGCTGTAGCTGCGCCTGTCTGGAACTCGCACAAAGGTTTGGAACCTCAGGTTAAAATGGCAGGGAAAAAAATCTTTCAGGAAATTTGAGTATGAAACTTGGAGTACCAAGGGGTAGTGACCCACAAAATCTTTCTTTTGTTCCAAGTGTTGTATTAAACCTTTGCTCCGCAAGTTGAGGACACATATGCCATACAGATCTGAATTTACAGCGCTGAAAACTTCTTTTTGGAACCAGATGCTGCCGGACTGAGCCTACCACCCGTAGGTCTCGTTGGGCAAATAGACACTCTCCTCCAGCAGATGGGTTATCACTGGTTGGTGTTTAGGCCGCACAAGGAAAAAACCTCATAGAGGGGCTTTGGGTACAAGATGGGGCCTCCTAGTTTTGCGTTGGTTTGTAACCCCCGACCATATAAACCATAGTTAACCTAATTAGTTATAAACCAACAGCTATAGGTTGGATGCCCCACCTATCCCCACCTTGTAGGTCTGTCCCCATTCAAGTGGGGTTGCAAGATTGGAATGGCATCGAATACAATCAACCAACATGAATCAGTCTCTGTATAAGCACCAGTTGGTTATAATAAAAAACAAACATGCAAAATGCTATACATATATATATATATAATGTGGTTAAATCAATAATAAAGCCCTTTTTGATGGTTTATAGCACCCATGTAATTTTGGTGATTTCGGGAACAGTTTCTGCTTGTTTTAACCACATGAGTTGGTTTCCTGTCCACCGCAGTCCGGATTCTCCGATTCACCGCAGTTGCAGTACGGCTGGATGCGGATTGAACCAGAAATCAGTGGTGAATGCTGCCATGGCTAGTGGATCCCCAGTGTGAAAAACTACTGTGGATATCAGTGGTGAATAACCATGGCTAGTTTACCCAGTGTTTACTACTCAGTCACGGATTCTCAGAAAAACGGATTCTGACACACATGAAGGAGCAGCATTCCCATCCAAGATATCCAAGACGCGCACTCCGCGGGAGAAAAGTAGGAGTTTTGCAACCCTGAAAACAAAGACCTTTCGAACCAAAGCTGCCATTGCCAAGATCAACATGTTACCATGTGTCATAGTGGACTTGTAACTCACCAATACAAATCCTTAATGCCCATCATGTCCACGTCATAACTACAGTTGGAGTATGTCTATGTTATTCTATGTTTCTGTACTTTTCAGAAATGATCCCTATATATATATAATACCGTTGATATAAACAATACATAACAATACTCCATTCTGTCAAAACATCTGTTCCCAGAAACATCACTTTCCCAGAAAAATACGTGTCCGATTTAAGAGTCCGAAACGTCCGAGCAATCGCTCCGTGTCCGAAAGTCCTTACCCGGCCTGGTAAACGTTTACAGTTTGCGAACTTGAAAATGGCCCATAGAAATAGTGGATTTACCCATTAATAGCATGGTGATTTCCCATAGTTATGTAGACGTTTACCAGGCCGGGTAAAGTTCCCCATCCCAGTCATTTCACGTCTCATCGCCAGTAGCTGTTCCCCAGGACTGGGTCGGCTCCTGATTCCAGAGAAGCACATTGCCTTGACGCAACGGATAGCCTCCTTCACAGCTGGAGGGCTCAAACCAGAACCACTAGCTGCTTTTTTTGTGGCAAGGCGAATCATAAAACATTCCAGACGTTTATGAAATTGGGTATACCCTTGGTTATAGACCAGCTTTCTATATACTCCGTTTGGTGCGTAAAGCCCTATTCAAAAGGCCTATTCGTTTCACCATTTTGTCATGGCATCATGGCACCAATACCCATTTTTCTGGACGAAATATCACCATTTCTCTGGATCTTAACCAGAACAAGGTTGAGTTAAGATCTCTTCTGGTCCATGAAAAAGGGTTATCTCTTGACCGAATCACCAGTTTTTTGATCCAGAAATTTCTAGATCCACAACAAATGTGTATATATATAGTATATATATATACTATATATATATACTATCTAATATATAATATATAATAATGATAATAATAATAATAAATAATAAATAATAATAAATAATAATAATAAATAATAATAATAAATAATAATAAATAATAATAATAAATAATAATAATAATAATTTATATAATAATAATAACAATAATATATATGTGTACGTGTATACATGGGGGATTCCTAAAATACGAATAGCCTCAAATAGTTCAGCAGCTCCTGGCAAATTGGCATTGGTTCCCAGCAACACCAAGCTCTGGGTCCTCGTGGCTGCGCAAAAAAGACTGGTGTTACTAACAACGTCTGGGGAGGTGAAGTTCAACTAAACAAACAAAAAGTGGGATTGAAGATGAGATCATCAGTCAACTAACAACAAACAATTGGATTGAAGATGAGAAAAAATCTGCCGAGAATTTGGGAATTTTAACCACCAAGAGTGAGGCTGTAGCAAGAACAATGTTATTCAAGCAAGAAAAAAATGCAGTGTAAATTCTGCGCAAAAACACTACACCTCTGAAGTCGTAAAAGTCGGAATCGACTTCGCAATGGTGTCATAGAGTTCCCGTCTCTAGAGGAGGTCGGGATGTGTGCAGCAATCTTGACTCCCAACTTACCGGTAGAGTTTGTCAATGTCGGGGACCTCCAAAATCCAAGAAAATCAATCACATGTCATCATGTGTCATCATCATTTCCTCATTTGCCCTTTTTGGAAAATTGACCATTTCGAGGTATAGCTCCTCATTTTCAGACAGACCCTAATGGGAAGTGGACCTATGCCGTGAAGTTTTCCGTAGGATGCCTCCACTGATGCTTGGAGGATTCTCCCGCTTAGCAGCTGTCAAATCCTGAAGAAGTCCCATAACTATCAAAAAACTGGAACCATTCGCAATCATTAGAGGATTTGAACTTCCAAACGAATTGCTAATCTATGCTGATACAGCTTGTTGTGTCAGTTGTGTCCCAAAGTAATGATAGCTTTTCATGTCTGTTGGAGATCTTGTGACCAGCATTGTCTCGGCAGGTTCTCCAAACATCTATGATAAAGACACTTATCTATGTAGAGAATATATACATACACACACAATCATACAATGTTATTTTTATGTGTATTATATATATATACACACCACTAGATACGTATATGGAGGTTTCCTAAAATGGGTGTACTGTACCCCCAAATCATCCAAAATCAGACCATTTTAGTCTTAAAAAAACAATAGTTTTGGGGATTTCCCATTTTAGGAAACCGCCATATGGATACCATTGCGTATATAACATTCTATGGAGGTTTCCGAAGTCATGGGGGTACCCCCAAATCAATCCAAATCATCCATTTCTAGATCGGATGTTCCAGCGATAAAGGGCTACCCTCATTGACACGGCGGTGGAACCGCCTCAATATGCATTCCCTTCATGTCGCCAAGGCACGCGTTGGGGAACAAGGCCAGGTGCCGGAATTCCGAATCCTCGAAATCCCAGTCGTACCTGTGCTATGTGGTGATTCAATGTGATGCATGGGGAGAACTAACCAACAAAAATGGGGCTACAATGGGGATGTCAAATGGGAATATAATGGGGCTATAATTAAGCAACTACGAGTTTGATCGATTTTGTTTTTTTTTGAAAATGTGTTTTTTTAACCAATCCTAATAGTATTTTAATGATTCATGGTGAATATGGTAAATTTGGGGAGTACCCTGCGAGCAGCATCCCTTGTACTGGTTGTACTTCTTCAGCATCGCCGTGGAACAGCGATGTTACCAGGCCTGGTAAACGTCTACATAACTATGGAAAATCACCATTTTCAATGGGTAAATCCACTATAAATGGGCCATGTTCAATAGCAAACTGTTAAATTACCAGAGGGTAACATTTGCTCCCCATCCTTTTTTTTGGGTGTGATTCCAATGAGAATTCAACCGGCTTCGCCGCCTAACAAAAACATTGTCCATTGGGAGGAAAGCTTAACAACCATGGCCCCTGTTTGCTTCCATATTCGGCTTTGGCAGAAATGGATGTTTCAGTTACTGACGATATGACCTACAATCGCATATTTCCAAGATGAGCATTCTTGATGCAATGCCCCTTCACTAAAGCTCCAGAAATCATTTTTGCCTGAGGATTCACACACCTGAGAATTTGCCAAGGCCCTCTTGCAATCTTAACATACAAAAAGATGTGGAAAACAAACCAGTCCCCATGGCTTTTCTCCATCTTTTTGTATGCATAACCCCCAGGGGTTTATGCACCCCCAGGGTAAACCCATCATTTTCACTGCGAATCATGCCAGTCGATTCGCCGGTAACCATATGTTCGAGACATTAAAAATAACGATAAATGCTTACCCTCTGGTAATTTAACAGTTTGCTATTGAAAATGACCATTTATAGTTGATTTTCCCATTAAACATGGTGATTCTCCATAGTTATGTTAGTTTACCAGAGGGTAATCTGGTTGGTGGTTGACCTACCCCTCTGAAAAATATTAGTCAGTTGGGATTATTATTCCCAATATATTGGAAAAAAATGTTCCAAACCACCAACCAGTTAATAATAATTAGAATTGCAATAATGAATAGCAATCATAATAACAGTAATGATAGTTATAAGACTAGATATATACATATCATAGTAAAAAACATACTAATTATAATATGATACTACTACGACTACGACTACGACTACTACTAATAATAGTAATAGTAATAACAATAACAATACATGGCCAGTCTTAGACCCTGCAAAAAATGAAAAATTCTTAGCTGGTGAACGTAGATAATCCCATTGATACCAAAAGACTAAAGGATTAGTTTTTACCCATCCAAGATTGATCTAGAATAATAACAATCGTTTACAGGATGGGGCCCATCCTGTAACAAGTGTGTTTATAAACCATAAAATAACCCCCATGAACTAGTTGGTTATATCTACCATAAACCATCGTTTTTTCGCCGCTGAACTCGTTTCCAAACGCCCCATGGATCCGCACCCGAAAGGTGAGATGACCTGGGAGATTTTTGTCCAACGAAACGGGGGGGGATAAAGGGGGCCCCGGATTTGTCCATGGGACCCATGAAACATCCATGGATTGATGTGGGGATGAACCAAATTGGTCTAATTTTGTTGATGAATGTAGACAAGCCATGAAAGAATTCATCACTTGGATTGAATATGATCCCATTTTATGGCGGGACCCATTGTATAAGTGGTGATGAATATCCATTTTTAATGAATGGTGATGAATATTCATAATCCCATTGGGATTATGACCATGATTTGCCCATTTATCCCGTTGATGGTGAATGATATTTCTCTGGGGTTGCCATGGTCATGACCATGACAATAAGAACTATGTCTTTGCTATGAATGTATAATATGGGGATATGAATGCTATTAATGGGATATTTAATATTTATGAATGGTGATGAATATCCATGGGATAAGTGGGACCCATTTATCCCCATTGATTCCCATTCATAGGACAAGAATTGTCAATCCTGTGAGAATGGGATCTCATGGAACGGGGATACAAAAATGGTTATGAACGGGAAAAATATATCAATAAACCATCTATTTTCAGAAGAAGTAATTACTACAAGAAGGAACTACCTGGATGGGATACGAATGCTGGGACGATGTGATTTTCGAATTTTCTATGGGGCAATTGGGGCAATTGGAGTGGGGATAGGCAAATCCAGCACATCCTCTGGTACCCCTCTGGTCATTTGTTACAGTTTGCTATTTAAAAATGGCCCATAGAAATATAGTTGAGACTTACCTATTATAAAAATGCTGTTTTTTTCCATCGTTTTCTGTATGTTTACCAGGGTAATGGGGATTTCTACGGGAACAATCTCATCGGCGATTAATGGGATTCATGTTAATGGGATTGAATTGGACAATTATTGGGATAGACCTTATGCTAATCAAGCGTGGCAATGGATTTTTTTGTCCATTTAGTTCTATGTTCCCATGAAATTTACACTTTATAAGGGATTTCCCATAGCAAGAATTCTTGAAACCGGGGGCATGGTTATGAAATTCATGGCTATGATATTCCCAGGTACCAACAAAGAGAGAGAACAACCAAAAAGTGGGAATATGATAGGATGACAACGCATTGAAAACCAATGGTTACGAAGGTAATTAAAGAACTATTTTATGTGAATTTCGGGATATCATATTTCCTATGTCGAACCTAAATTGGAGGTACTGACTATGTCAGGTCTTAACTTCAGGGAATCTCACAAAACATAGCCCCCCATGGATTGTTTAAAGGGAAGATCTGTCGATGAATCCCAAAGAGAATCGGAGATTGACTTTGCAGGTGGGTACCCTCTGGTAATTTAACATAGCAATTGAAAATGGCTATTTATAGTGGATTTTCCCATTAAAAATGGTGATTTTCCATTGCTATGTTAGTTCACCAGAGGGTATTGTTCATGATTTTTCACAACAAAGATTCGTAGCTGGTTGGTGGTTGACCTACCCCTCTGAAAAATATGAAAGTCAATTGGGATAATTATTCCCAATATATGGAAATATGGAAAAATAAAAAATGTTCCAAACCACCAACCAGGTAGTATATCATATCCTGGCATATCATATGATACAATATATAATCCCAGTATCATAATTATGAAATATCCCAATATATTCGGGTATATAATAATAACAATGTATTGTGAAAAATCATATCCAGTGTGTCCCAGTATATCATCATTCATCCCGATTTTAAAGACATTACCCTCTGGCGATCAACCGTGGAAATGGAAAAAGCGCCTATTTCGTTCGATGTTGTTCCCATTGAAGACCCATGAAACTAGAATTGTCCACTGGCACATTTGATTCTATATCCCGATTATTATCCCAATCATTATCCCATCTAATAATATTACTTCCATTAGTCACCATTGACATTACTCATAAATCATCATAATCATACTCCCGATAATCCCACAATGGCAACACTATGAATCCTAATTGAATTTTACTTCCATTATATAATCACCGGGATATCCCCATTAATCCCATTAATCACTTCAGACCCTCTGGTAAACGTTTACAAAAAACTATGGAAAATCACCATGTTTAATGGGTAAATCAACTATTTCTATGGCCATTTTCAAGTTCGCAAACTGTTTGTTTACAAGTTATATACCAACTGCCCAGTGCCTAGTTCCAGTTCCAGCAAGTAGTTTTTTGAATAGTTCATAACAGTTAATCCCATAACAGTTCATAAACATTCATAGAGGATCAATATATCGTGGGATTCATGCGCAAAAACTTCCAGTCATAGTCATCCCCATCTCCACTTTGTTTACTGAATTGATATATTTACAAAAATAACTATAGATGAATAAAAAAAGTGGGATTAATACTATATATATACTATATTGGATATATACTATATATAATTATATTATATATAATTACTATATATATACTATTATATATATATATACAATATATATATATATATACTATATATATACTATATGTATACTATATATGTATATACTACATATATATATATATACTATATATATTCATAGTATATTGACATCATGAATCCCAGTCATCCCCAGTCCGGAAATTTCTCCCCGCTTAGTATGAGACCCGCAGAGTGGAGCTGATCTCTTCAACCACCTGGCGGTGGAGAAATGAGCTGAGCTAAACCATGAGATCAGCTGTTTGATTCCTCTAAACCATCAAAAATGACCTGTTTATGATGTTTACCCTCTGGTAATTTAACATAGCTATTGAAAATGGCCATAGAAATAGTTGATATACCCATTAAACATGGTTATTTTCCATAGCTTTTTGTAGACGTTTACCAGAGGGTATGTGGGGAAATGAGGTTCTAACCTCATGTTTTTTGACATAGGTTCCATCATGATCACTGTTGGGGTCCAGTTATCTTCTGAGACTTGACCACCGGGAGGTGCTGTTTTTCTTGATCTTTCTCAGTAAAACATCCACGCGGCACCTTCCAGTAATCAAACATGGCAAGGGAAAATCCCCCATTTATGTATATATATAATTATATATATATATATAGAGTTTGATGATTTTACAATATGTTACATAATTTTACAATTCAACCTCCATTCAGAATCATTTGGAGACGATTTTCCATTGCCATGGAGAATTCGACCAGTGAAATGGAGGGTTGACCCTCCAAAAGAGGATTAGATAGGTCTTTTTTTCGGGTCCCACACACCTGCAGTATCTAGAAATGCATTGTGACTATAGATCATACATATATATATAATATTATATTATATAATTATATATATATATACTCTGCGTATGCATATCTCTATTATCCATATTTATTATATACATAGATATAGGAAAGCATGCAGGTGAATTTTAACTTTCAGTATCTTTCAGTCCAGCATTTTGAGACAAACCCATCTGCTTTGGAGCTTCGACTTCCGCGTTGATGGCAGCGGGCTTTCACCCAGAAACTACAGATGGAATCATCAGTTGCTTCGCGAATTTGTGTTGACAGAATGCGTGAAATATATAACATAGGAAAAATACATGACAACCATATTAATTAGTCTTGCACGGAATATCACCATTATATATATAGTATAGTTCCACTATGTTTCACTCAAATTAAGCGGGTTACACATGCATTACATATTATATACATATGCGTTACCCTCTGGCTATTTGACATAGCCATGGAAAATCGCCGTTAGAAATAGTTGTTTTTTGCTGATTTACCTGTTAAAAATTGTGATTTCCCAGTTCGCTACGTTAAATAACCAGAGGGTATATCATCTATTATATGGTTTATGGTAGATATAACTGTACTTATTGGGGTTTATTTCATGGTTTATAAGCCAACGTTCACATAACTATGGGGCCCCATCCTGTAGCCTATGGCCTATTTCTATGGCCCTCTGCCCTCCCTTCGCACCCGCAGTGGCAAAATGGTGACCGTGGTACGCTGCATAGACCTGAGCCAGGGAAAATCCATGGGGAAATTCATGGGGAAAGTCCCCTAGCAATGGAGGTTGAAAGGCTGGAAAAATCCATCGAAAAATCGAAGGGTGGATTTTCCAGCCCAAAAGGTGTGTAAGGAATCCACTTACCTTCTGGTGGGATAAGAATGGGTCATGGGATATCTGGGGTTGATTAATGGTCATTAATGGGATTAATATGCATGGGATAAATTGGGATTCATATTTATGGGCCATGGGATTATGATTAGGATATACCCTCTGGTCACATCAAACATGGCTAGCTGGAAAATCCCCGAACTTAATGGAGGTCTATAGCAGGGTAAATCATCGAACTATGATGAACTATGGTGGATTTGTCCATTGCGAAGTCTTTTCCTCCACTAAAAAAAAATGTCCGGGGAAAGCTTCCGGTTCATGTTTCCAGGCGAAAATTCGGGGTCCTGCTTCTTTAGTGTCTCTGAAAACCAATTCTGCATCATCAAGACTGACTGCAACCCCTTAGCCACAAGGGCCGAACTTCAGTTGTGTTTCTATATCTAGAGTAACATATATCAAACATACCCCTCTTTCTAGCTGGAAATGTATCCATGTAAGGTTACAGCACACCGCTGGATGTGTATGTTACCTGAGTGTGGGTCTAAATTGAAGGCAGTTGGGACCTCGAAGTCTTTCCAAGTGCTGTTTGCAAGCTTCATACCAGTTCCATAGATCAGTGCATAAATCATCATCTTAATCCGATACCAGATGGATTAATTGGCAAAATAAAGAAGCAGAATCACCAATTTCCCCTCTTGCAGAATAATTTCTATGCCTACAATAGGTCAATAGGTTGGAGGCACCCTGTTGATGGTTGAATTACCCATAGTCTTGTTGGTTGAGTCCCTAATTTTTGTTAGTCAAACCCCCATTTTCATGGTGAAACCTCCATTTAGGCAGGTTCACCCACATTTTTGGATGGTTCATGTTTTAACCATCCAAAGTTCGGCAAAGCCAGGATTTAGATTTTCACTTTCTATTCACCTTAAGCGTACACTTAGAGATTTCCAGCAGATTTTGTCAGTTCTATGGATTCAGTTGTCCCATTTTGTCTACTTGGTTGATATGGGTCTGTCTGAAAATGGATGATTATACACACTTTAAAAGACCATCTAAATTTTGGGGAAATGGATGGAAATGGTCATTAACAATGGGATTTCAAAGGTTTTCCCCCAATTTTCAGACCAGCCCATATTCTGATGTTCAACTCCCAGCTTTCCAACTATCTCTGATATGCATTTACAGTATATTTCTCCCAAAAAGTGCACTCTCACAGCGTCCTGCTCGATGGACCCGGCCATCTGAACGAACCTCTGTCGCTACTGTTCTCTGCGAATGCGTTCCTGAAATCCCCTGCGAACGAACCGCCTGAGTGAAACTCCTCCATCAATTGGAAAATCCATGAAAACTTTGGTTGGACATTCTAAGTCCATGGAGCATTCTCTGATTGCTGAAAACGGTGGGTTTTCGGAAAACCGGCCGCAAATCCAGAAAGTATTTTCCGGGGTGTGGAAAGCCATAAACAAATCAACTTTTCAAAATCTGTTCGGTTTGAAAAGGTTTCAATCATATATCTTTTCTTTGGTTGAGACATCACAGAAACACTAGTCAACAAAAGATATCAGACAGAAGCTGACGCCAAAAACAGGACCCTCCACAGATCATTCACTCGCTGGGTGTCCCGACATGGAATACGGCATGGCATTCATCAAGGATACCTGCGCGGAAATTTCGATGACATGGATGTGACCAGTTTGTAACGTGGGGAATACCCATACTATACTTCAGTCATACATATATAGTCTCATATATATATATATATTGGAATAAATGAGGGTATGGAATATACATTACTTCAGTCATATATGCAGAAATTATACATGACTTCGGTAATATCTTTATAACCTCCAAAAAAAATACTTCAGAGCCATTGTAATTGGTATGGAATAATCATTGGAATCATAATTGGGTAATATGCTCCGGTGATGAAACGTGGCGCCGTCAAATCCGCTTTTTTGGCCACGGGGACTGTCCAGCGTTCGCCACGTTTGAGCAAACCGGAGGGTAATCATACTATACCAGTTGTATGGGTCATAGCTATTATTGGATAGTATATATATATATATAATACTATATATGAAATGCCCACATGTATGACATGAAATATCCAAAAAATAATCACGTGGGTCATAGGTGTATATATATATATGGAGGTTTCCGAAGTCATGGTGGTACCCCCAAATCATCATTTTTAATTGGATTTTCCATTGAAAAAAAAAACATCCAACTATTGGGGTATCCCCATTTCAGGAAACCTCCATACAAGTTGGACACACGACATGAAGTCCTTAGACTCTGTGGTGCCCCCTATGACCAGGATATTTTGTTATACCCCCCGCTTACTATCCATAAATCCTATCACAATTCTGGGCCAATCTAAATTGTTTGTGCCCATTAAATGTATCGTGTATATATATATATACAAACATGTCCGAACACGTTTATTTATATACATTATATATCGCTGAATCAGAATATACCGGTAGCTCCCCATATAGAAACATATAGAAACAATTATTTTAGTGTTGAGCTGGAAAATCTGGGCTGGGACCCCTAAAAATTGGTTCATAAAAACCAGGCAATTTAGTGGAGATTTCCCTTAAAACCAATCCCATGAAACTTACCCTCTGGTAAACTAACATAGCTATTGAAAATGGCCATTGAAATAGTGGATTTTCCCATTAAAAATGGTGATTTTCCATAGCTATGTTGACATTACCAGAGGGTATATGTTCCCCAACTTGTTCAGATCATGCAACCGTCCTGCACGTTGAGTGTCGTCGGGGTGTTCAATTGAGCCTCGTTTGGAAAATGTGGCGATCCGAAGAACTATGATGAAACACCCAAAAACCGGGTCCATGTTCACCCCGAGGCTAGAAATTAAGTCTTAGTTCCTGTTCATTTTGGCCAAAGATTTCAGATTTTCCAGACGTAGATCTATGATAACTGGTACAAGAATCTATCGGTCTATCCAAACAGCAGGAATACAAGCAGCAATACTGTGGATAGATAGGCTATTACTGTACCAGAGATCTTATGTATTGATTTTGGATTCAAAGTGCCCTGGAGGTGTCTAGCCTTAGAATTGATTTCCTGAGGCCTCCAGTTTTGGTCTTAAAATGGGTATGGGTCGCAACCTGGTACCCTGGTGAACACTGTGAACACCAAAATAGTTGGCAAAGGAATGGTCATCCTGCCAAAATATGGTATTATAAGTTCTGATTCATGCGTTTTTAGGTGGCACAGTCTGAGAAACAACGTGGCTTCCAGTGGCATCGACTGTGTTGGAACAACGGGCATGACTTTTGTAGGGTCTATCTGAGAATGACATGGAATAAAGCGATCATACTTCAGGGGGTTAGGTTGCCATAAAGTGGGGATTGTTCCCAATCATGATCAAATTATACTTATAAACAAGAAGAAACCGGCTGTACAAGGTGGTGGCCCCTGGTTATGTGTTGGTTATGTTCGTTATCATTTGTGTGGTTTCTGTTGTTAGTCTACAGGTAGCTATAAACCAACAGAAGGCAACCATTTGGGTGCCATAAATCTAAGTCCAGTTATTTCATCACCATAAATCCTACTAATCATGTTCACTATTGCCATTGCTGCTATTCATGTTAGCCTTGCTACAAACTAACATAACCTTGAAAAAATCCCATGTGTCTTGCTTATTTTCAGCCAGTTGTCTCCACCAGGAAATCCGAAAAAGAACCTCCCCCTATAGTAACTTGCCAAAGCGGTTCCTAAGATCCAATCCAAGACAATCTGTTCAATAATAGATGACAATAATAATAGCCATGTGTTTATAAAATGAGTCTGTGAAATAAATACTATTATATATATATACTTTGTGTAAATATATATATACATATTATGATAATAATAGTAATAGGTAAAAAAAAACGGTCTAGGTTGATTCCTATACATTATGACAATAATAGTATTGTAATAGATACACCAGTGGATACATGGGTCTTGATAATTGACTCTACTTATTTCATCACCATAAATATACTGGTAAATATACATTATGATAATAATCATAGGTAGAATAGAATTTCTAAATAATAGGTACCATAATAGTAGTAAGAACAATGATTAATCACTATTAACAATCAATAAGAGAATATAATATAGATAACCATGGATAACAATAGATAATGAATATCATAGATAACCATGGATAACAATAGATTTTTTTTAAAAAAAAAAAGTAATAACCATTGGATAATAGATAATACTCTAGTAATACACTAGTGGATAAATGGGTCTAATAATACTCATAATAACAGATAATAGATCATAATAATCTTGGGTCATAGATAATACTCTAAACATAAGCCCAACCTGAAATAACAATAAATAAGGAATATAATAGATAACCATGGATAATAGGTCATCCTCTAAAAAATAGATCAAATAGATCTTATATAAATTTATATAATAGATCATAATACTCTAGTAATCTACTCTTATTATGGATATAATAAGTAGATCTTGGGCTCCAAAGTTCGCCTAGCGGCTCGGTAGAGCCCGAAGCTCAGCTGCGTCGAGTCCACGGACATGGGCAGATTGCGCGCCGTGTGCGCCGCCATGGGGATGGGCATGGCAGTCCCGTCCTGCACCGGGGACCGGCACGGGGGGCGTGGTCCCATGAAAAATGGGGGATAGACTCAGAAACCATCATGATATTGTCATCAATTATGATTGTATTATGATTGTATTATATGTGTATGTAGTATAGGAACAACTTGATATTTGGCTGTGTCCAAAAAAATGCTGGATTTACCACCAATGGAGGGGAATAGAGAAAATGAGGTAATAGCAATAATAGTAATAGGGAAATGAGCACAAATGATGTATCTTGAACCATCAAATTTGGAGGTGCCCTATTTTCTGACGAAAACCGCATGTTGAAGAAAACAACAATTTCACCAGCAAGAATGAGGATGTCACCAGCCACAAATCGGATGAAAAGATATATCAACAATGATGATATGAGCTATTTTGGGGACCCAGGAAGTGAGAAGGTGGGGAATAATCATGGGTTCTTGTACATATAAATACGAGTCCTTGGATACACATCAAAGGACCCAGTGTCTTATCTGCATCCATGTTCAACTTCAAACCTATGATATTTCAACCTTTACCTGTTGTAATCTACCCACAGCTCATTTTGTTGTTATAGACGTTGATACATATTCCACTCTTGGAGCATTTCTGGGTCAGTTTCTGTTTCATTTGTGCTGAACAAATCCCATCAAAAAAAAAACATAACATATACGACGTATACCAAACAAATCATTGATTTTTTGGTGAATTCCACATCAAAAATGAGATGTTTGTCCCCAATTTGTTTGATGCATCCAGTCACGAAGGCCAGCTGGGTTTCCAACCACCCGGTAGTCGTTCATATCCACCGTGAAGATCCTGGCTCCGGTGGCGATTGGTTTCTTGGGGAGCCTTTCAAAAGAAGAGAAAATCAACAGATGTTGGGCGTTACTTTTTGGAATTTACAGGGTTTTATAGGATTCTAGTAGTTTTCTATGGTTTAGAAGGATTAATAGAAAAGTATGACTTACATTTGGGAGAATCAGTTGGAATTATCCTCTTATTTATGTTGCCTTCACTTTTTCGGATAGTTTTCATGATGTCACTTTTCTATGGCAAAAACCGGAACATCGCCAGATTTGGACCCTCAAAATGCCCATAATTTCATGCCATGGCGAGCCAAAAAAAGTTTTGCACACAAGGTGGTGTCCCAGTTTACGGTAGCTCAGTTGGCTTACAACTGTGCCTACGGGTTGATGGTGATTGTAACATATTGTAACTATAGATGTCTATAGTTACTGTACTTGGATGGGATTGTAAACCAACAAACTTACAACAGGCTTCTAGCGGTTGGGGGCACATTGGGCCGGTTGGACAAGCCAAACTTGATGATTCAACACGAAGCAGACAAAACCGCCAGCCAAAAATGTGTGATTTGTAAGATGTGGGAAACCCCTTAAAATAGCCGATTGAATAGCGAAAATATTATGCGAAAATGATGTGAAATGATGATCAGCCATGAGATTTCGGGGTACCCATGGTACCGTACCTCTTAGACAACTCAGGTACCATCTGTGTTTCGGCGATTGGGGATGGTTCAAAAAGATTGTTTGACCAAGTACAGTTAATATGAATATTCTACCTATGTCTCATGATCTCAAATGGTGTATGTATGATAGTTGATAGCTCCTACCTATAGCAGGGGATGACACGGTTTTCAAGAACTGCGCCAGTGCATCCCGGGTAGTGAATGTAGTACCAAAACTGGTTGGTGGTTTCAACCTACCCCTCTGAAAAATGATGGAGTGAGTAACAGTTGGGATCTGTAAAATTCCCAACTGTTCATGGAAAGTCATTCAAAATTCCATGGTTCCAGTCACCACCAACCAGAATTCATGATTTTGGATCTTCCGAATTCTGCTTCGAAATGCCCTGCACCGAGTTTTTCACCCAGCTCCTCCAGGCGGTTCTCTGTGAGCTCTCGTACACCTCACCGCGGTGTACGCGCAGAAAGGGGCGCCGGCCATTGATCTCTAAAATGATCCACGGATTTTGCCCAAAATACGATTCTCATCTCATATCTAATACCATATAATGATAGGTAATGATATATAATGATATATAACATTATATAATGATATTATATGGTATTCTAATACCATTATAATAATGGCGATAATGATATATTAGTCTTTATTGAGCAAAAATGAGAATAGGAATAGTAGCATGATCATCATCATTATCACTATCATCATTATATAATCATCGTCATCGTCCTCCTCATGGATTTGTCACCCCACCGACACTGCGCCTCTGCATTGGAGACCCAAAGTCCAAACGCATAGAAACTGTTGGACCTTGGTCCAGGAAACCGGCAAAAACCGGGGGTCCGGGGCACATGGCTTCTGCAAGAAATGTTGTACTTCGCCATCCCCATTCGTGAAAAGGTTAAAAGCCATGTGTATATATATATAATTAATCATATATATATACATTATTTATATTTATTTATTATATTCATGAAAAAGCCATGTACAGACATCATATACATATATGTTTCCCTCTGATGATTCTTCGGTTTCATGGCTCGAGGAGGCGGAAAAAAATTGTGTGGTTTCTATTCGACAGAATCCACTAATGTGACCGTGTGACCAATGCAGATGGATAACTATGATTGTGGTTACCGCGTCAACCATTTCAACTCATGTTGATTCCTCCTTCCATCTCCTTCCATCACTGTGGATCAACCAAATGATGTAAAATATCTCTTTGTCGAAGCCTTTGATGATCCTTTCAAGACCACCTGAGCTTCCAACAGGATAGCGCCAGTGAGCTTGATGGCGGCATGGTTGTAAGGATACATGCGATGCTCACAGGACACAAGGCCTGGAGATGCAGCAACCATCATCAGCCATCGAGTGATCGCTGGCTCTACAAGCCCGGGAATGAGACTTTTACCCAAAATCAGAAAGGTCACCAAAAATCATCGGGTTATTCTGGTTGGTCACTGGTTGGTGGTGTCAACCTACCCCTCTGAAAAATGATGGAGTTAAAGTCAGTTGGGATGATTATTCTACCATTCCCAATATGATGGGAAAAATAAAAGCCATGTTCCAAACCACCAACCAGTCATTGGTGATGTCACTGATGTCAGTGAAGTCATTTGCGGATGAAAAATGGTGTCCCCCTGATTTTTCACAGCCGAATCAGAATCCGGGGCTGACATGAAAGCAGTCTTGGAGCTTGTCATAGCCTCATATCTTAGTCCAAGAATCAAATTCAAGTGCCAAAATTGATGGCAACTTGAATTAGAAAAAGCATCGAAATAATTTCTGGAACCCACTCTGTAGAGGAAATTCATGGAAATTCCCAAGAGGACATGGTAATTCGCTCACCCCAACGTCCTAAACGACGGCAGGATGTGCCAATGGAATCGCTGGGCATCGCGACGTTCTTTTTGGCAACCCACAAAAAGGTACAAAAGTATGGAACAGTGAAATTCACCCGTTTAATACATGCTTAAACTTAAACAATGCCAAGAAACAGATTGTTTGTAAACTATACTTACAGTATGTTTATTATGGATGCAATGATGTCTAAACTGAATATGTTGTTATTTCTAGTATCATAGTGAACATGTTTAAGCCCTTTTTTGTGGGTGAGACCTTCTATTAGCTGTACTGATGGGCTCTACTCTGTTGATACGACAATCCAACGCCAATCTGGCTGGTTGTTTCAACCCATCTTAGACATATCATGTTGTCCATTAGGGTCATCATCCCAAATTCCCCGAAAAAAATACTCCTTAAACGCACTCCCAACCGGCAAACATCAGGTTTTTGTTGGGGCTCAAAACTCGAATTTCCCCAATTTTCTTCGTTTCACATGGGACCACCATGTGATCCACTGTCGATCTCCACGAATCGGCCTGGTAATCGCCGTGTGGCAGATCCCATCTGCCCCGGAGTGGCGTAGTAGGAATCCTACGCAAAGGCGGATGGGGAGATCGTGGGTAAACGCTTGGGATGCGCCAAAAAAACGAAGAGTTTTTGCTATTGGAAATGGTGAAAAGCGATGGATTGACCTATAAAAATGGTGATTGTCCATGCTAGTAGTGGATTTGTTTCTATGTTTTTGCTAAAACACAGAAGCTTGCACACACAGAGAGGCTTTTACACACAGACACTTTTACACACAGACGCTTTTACACACAGATGCTTTTACACACAGACGTTACACAAAGAGGCTTTTACACACAGACGTTTTACACAAAGAGGCCTTTACACACAGACGTTTTACACAAAGAGGTTTTTACACACAGAAGCTTTTACATGCAGACCCTTTTACACATAGACGCTTTTACACACAGATGCTTTTACACACAGACGCTTTTACAGACAGACGCTTTTACACAAACACCTTCACACCCAGAGACTTTTACACACAGACGCTTTTACACACAGACACTTTTACACAAACACTTTCACACGCAAAGACTGTTACACGCACACGCTTTTACACACAGACACTTTTACACCCAGAGGCTTTTACATACGGAAGCTTTTACATGCAGACCCTTTTACACATAGACGCTTTTACAAACAGACACTTTTACACACACACACACCTTCACACCCGGAGACTTTACACAAAGACGCTTTTACACACAGACGCTTTTACACACAGACACTTTTACACAAACACATTCACACGCAGAGACTGTTACACACAGAAGCCTTTACGACGCTTTTACACACAGAAGCTTTTACACAGAGAAACTTTTACACACAGACGCTTTTACACAAACACATTCACACGCAGAGACTGTTACACACAGAAGCTTTTACACACAGACGCTTTTACACACAGAAGCTTTTACACAGAATAACTTTTACACACAGACGCTTTTACACACAAACGTTTTTACACACAGACGCTTTTACACACAAACACTTTTACGCACAGAGACCGGACCCGTGAAATTGCAATTTTACACCAGTTTTTGGCTATCGAACCTCATTTCGTGGGAAAGGGTTGCGTTTCGTGCCGTCTCGTTGGCGCTGCCCACGCCTTCAAGAGAGAAATAGAAAAGAAGGAGAGAGCAAGAGGGCAAGAGAGCAAGAGGGCAAGAGAGAATGTGAAGATGTGAAGATGAGAAGATGTGAAGATGTGAGGATGAGAAGATGTGAAGATGAGCAGATGTGAAGATGAGAAGATGTGAAGATGTGAGGGTGTGAAGATGAGAAGATGTGAAGATGAGAAGATGTGAGGATGAGAAGATGTGAAGATGAGAAGATGTGAAGATGAGAAGGTGTGAAGATGAGAAGATGTGAGGATGATAAGATGTGAAGATGAGAAGATGTGAAGATGAGAATATGTTTTACAGACCCCCACTATTGGAAGAACCCTGCGCTCAGACGCTCTCGGGAATAATTTGGCATTGATAATTCGCCATATTACAAAACTGACAAACACTGATAACATATATATATATATATGTCATCGCAGTCGGCCCATTGATGTCACATTGAGTATATGTTTAAAAGAAGGAAACACATTGGGATTGACATTCTGAAGGATTTTGGCTTTGGGATCGTCGTCCTTTTTTCGTCAACGGTTGGAACGGTTGCTAGCTGTCATGGATCCATGGTGTCTGGACCCATGGATCCTCAGTTGACGCAGAAAAACTCATGGAGGATATACACATGTCTATGGTCATGTGTGGATCTAGGTATAGAAAAATAATGATACTAATCTACTAAGCTCCAAAAATGATAGAAAAGTAACCTCACACTAAAAAGAACTAAATCACGTTTCAATCTATTTGAGGTTTATATATCAATTATTTATCTATCCGATTCTATCCCAATCTTTAATTATGGTTGGCTTTACATATATTATGGCCTTGTAGATTGTAGCTATTGTATGTAATATATAGATCAGATCGTGCATATATATATATAGCACTGGTAATCATCTCCAATATCAATATTTATGGGTTTGTGATATGGATCTGGTTGGGTTATTTTTGTGTCCATATCAGAATGGGATCATGGTTGATTCTGAGAAATAGATAATATCTATATATATATATACAGTACCAATCAGAATCTATTTGGTGGTTCCGCAGAATGGGAGATCCCCAAGTCACCCAAGGCTTCAATATTACAATGGTCTAACTTGGGATGACTTGGGGGTACCCCCATGGATTGGAAATCGCCATTTTCGGGATGCTGGTTGTTTGCCCTTGCCGCTGCCGGGTATCTCAAGAATCCAATGCGCAGGACGATGTCCACCTATAATGAGAGACCAAGAAAATAGGGTACATTGAAAGATGACACTAGCTGGTTGGTGGTTTGAATCATCTTGAAAAATATGAGTCAATGGGAAGGATTATCCCATATATGAAATGGAAAATCGTCCAGTCATGTTTGAAACCACCCACCAGAATAGGGATTTACTGGGATTATTTATGGGACTTAATGGGATGTGATGGGATGTATGAGGATGACCCTTCCGAAGCTAATTCAACATAGCGACATAGAACATGGCTATTGATTGTTGGTCTACCATGATTTAACTATTAAAAAATTCCGATTTTCCAGTTCGCAAACTGTTAGTTTGCCGGAGGGTGTGGTCCACAAGGGAAAAATAGAAAAACTGCGTGACATGTTGCTTGGACTTTGATCTTTGAAGCGTTTAGAGATATCAAAATTTATCCATCATTTTGACCGTCGTTTGAACAAGACTCGGAAAGACATACTTTTCGGACACCTATGACATATGTGGGCAGGAATTTCTGACTATGGCTATTTGCATTCTGGCAGCTGTAAATGCAGTACTCGGTTTGGAAGACCAGTTTATCTGCCACAAAACTCATTCATTCCCTCTTGCATGGCAATTTCCAGATTTGTATAGCGTGTGATACCTCAACTGCAAGAGGGACACTTCCAAACTTCCAGCAACCACCACTGTTTTTCAGTATGTCAGCCGTTGCTTTGGGTCACCATATCTGATCGTTCCTTCGCACATCCCCATTTAGCCAGGCATTGGGTTTTGGAAAGTGCCTTAAACTCAGAGTTCAACCAGCTTAAAACATCTCAAAACGTCTTAAAACATCTCAAAACATCTCGAAACATCTCAAAACATCTTAAAACCATGATTTTCTCCTGACTTTTTAAGACAACTTGCTGCTCCAGCGTTTTTTGGATGCGGCTCAAGCACCAGGAAGGTGATGGTGAAGGCCAGGTTCATCGTATCAAAGACGTGCTGGGCAGAGGGCCACACCTGCGACCATCGGGGATTTGCAAAAATGCTGGTGAATATCGTGGGACCATAGAATTTATAATGGGAATATATTATAATGGGATTTAAATGGGACTTAGAGAATAATTATTGTATAATACTTGGGTAATGGGATATATATCCATGATGATTATTTTATTCATAATGGGGTTTAATATGATTCTGGTTGGTGGTATACCTACCCCTCTGAAAAATATGAAGGTCAGTTGGGATGATGACATTCCCAATATATGGAAACATAAAATTCATGTTCCAAACCACCAACCAGTGATTATATTATTGTGAAAATAGGGGGACCAGAATATCTGGGCAAATTATCATAATTCATTGGGCTGCCCCGGCCCACTGAAATGTTGGGCCATGTCGGGGATGATTCCCGTATAAAAACCATGATTCCAGTGAGGGAGAACAGTGAGGTCGTTATAATTTGCCCAGATAATATATTGTAATATACTATACATGATGGGCCCCCCCAGTTATAAGTTGGTTTATAAACGATTATAAACCCCATTAACTATAGTTAAATCTACCATAAACCACAGTTAAGCCACTTATAAGGCAACTTAGCTATCTTGCGGGCCCCATCCTGTATTATCTATATTCTGGATTAATTGATTTAAATTTGATTTAAATGGATGATAATTGTAATGGAATTTAATCATATTTAATCAATCATGGAACTATTAGATTATACTTTCCTGTAATGAAATTTAATGGGATACTATGGATAGTCATGAATTTCACCAACTTGGGGATATCTCATGATATATCCTTCAGTAAACGTGGCTTGCTTGAAAATCCACCATCTAATTCGGGAATTTCACTACCTTCCTTACACAATCATCAACCACCATAAACCAACCATATTTTGATGGCTTATACCGCTTTTTGATGGTAAACTTACAATGTGAGGCCCCCAAGATAGCTAAGTTGGTTTATAACTCCAATAACTATGGTATATGGTACTTATAACTATAGTTACTGGGGCTTATAAACCAACTTATAACTGGGGGGCCTCACATTGTAGGGATGGTTTACTACAGCATTGCTTACTAACTTCCGGTCATCAGTCACATGGCAAGCTGGGAAATCCACAAACTAAATGGATGTTTCAACGGGAAAAGCACCGAACTTAAGCGTGGGGATTTTCCCGCACGCCACCGAACTGAGTACCGGAGGGTAGGAAGGTGATCTGATGATTCTGGTGGTGACATCGCTTGTTGAGATAGGATGTATATGGATGTATAGTCCAAGTTGCACCCCCATGTTATTCTCTGAATAAAGATAATAAAGAGCTGCGCGAGACATGTTGCACTCTCCAAGCGAGGAATTCTTGTGCGTGTTTCTCCTCTACATGGCGTCCTGTGAATCCAACAACATCACAATATAATCCCAAGAACTTCAGATAGACACAGCTGCTCGATGAGGGGCAACCAACTCCGCTCAGGTTCGGTGTCAATTTTCGAGGATGGTCACTCATGTTAAATCACAGGGTGACGTGTGTCACATCTCAACATGACATACCCGGCCTGGTAAACTAACATAGCTATTGAAAATAACCATTTATAGTGGATTTACCCATTAAAAATTGTGATTTTCCATAATGTTGAGTCCTGATTAGTACCTAGGGTCGCTATTGTGGCAAATTTTTTCCAAATTATTCTGAAACTCATGTATTGTTTGGAGGGTTCGCTTTTGTGGCAAAACAAAATTGGGAGAGCCCTTTTTTTTGCAAAAAAAACTGTAATTGCTGAGAGGCATTTTTTCTCAAAAACGCTGTAGCTCAGTCAATTTTTTGCTCATCTCCCTATCTGAGCCTGTAAATGCATCTCTATCTGAGTAGGTTTGTTTGCTGGGTTCACTATTGCAGCAAGCTGTGCCAGAGCAGCCCCTGAAGAAGGGAAGCAAGCCATTTCCAAAATTGCCAAATTCAAACCGCAAGCCTTTCCCAAAAGAACCAATCCCTTATTCAACCCTTATTAAAGAACAGCTTTCCCACAATTTTCCAAGGCCCTGGACCAGTAGAGGCCCCATTTCACTTTAGTAGGTTTGTTTGCTGGGTTCACTATTGCAGCAAGCTGTGCCAGAGCAGCCCTTGAAGAAGGGAAGCAAGCCATTTCCAAAATTGCCAAATTCAAACTGCAAGCCTTTCCCAAAAGAACCAATCCCTTATTAAACCCTTATTAAAGAACAGCTTCCCCACAATTTTCCAAGGCCCTGGACCAGTAGAGGCTCCATTTCACTTTAGTAGGTTTGTTTGCTGGGTTCACTATTGCAGCAAGCTGTGCCAGAGCAGCCCCTGCAGAAGGGAAGCAAGCCATTTCCAAAATTGCCAAATTCAAACTGCAAGCCTTTCCCAAAAGAACCAATCCCTTATTAAACCCTTATTAAAATTTTCCAAGGCCCTGGACCAGTAGAGGCCCCATTTCACTTTAGTAGGTTTGTTTGCTGGGCTCACTATTGCAGCAAGCTGTGCCAGAGCAGCCCCTGCAGAAGGGAAGCAAGCCATTTCCAAAATTGCCAAATTCAAACTGCAAGCCTTTCCCAAAAGAACAAATCCCTTATTAAACCCTTATTAAAGAACAGCTTTTCCACAATTTTCCAAGGCCCTGGACCAGTAGAGGCCCCATTTCACTTTAGTAGGTTTGTTTGCTGGGTTCACTATTGCAGCAAGCTGTGCCAGAGCAGCCCCTGGAAGCCCAGAAGGGAAGCAAGTACTACAAATACTACAAGTACTACAAGTACTACAAGTACTACAAGTACTACAAGTACTACAAGTACTACAAGTACTACAATTACTACAAGTACTACAAGTACTACAAGTACTGCAAGTACTACAAGTACTACATGTACTACATGTACTACAAGTACTACAAGTACTACAAGTACTACAAGTACTACATGTACTACAAGTACTACATGTACTACAAGTACTACAAGTACTACATGTACTACAAGTACTACAAGTACTACAAGTACTACAAGTACTACAAGTACTACAAGTACTACAAGTACTACATGTACTACAAGTACTACATGTACTACAAGTACGACATGTACTACAAGTACTACAAGTACTACATGTACTACAAGTACTACAAGTACTACAAGTACTACAAGTACTACAAGTACTACAAGTACTACAAGTACTACATGTACTACAAGTACTACAAGTACTACAAATACCACAACTTCATCGGCAAAAAAAAACAATAGTAATTAGATTTCAATTGTAGCCAATTGAAATCCTTACTTAATTGAGGATATGTTTTTCTTTTGGGAAGAAAATTTTTGACTTTCTACTTTAAAGAGAGTCCAGAAATAGTTTAGGGGAGGGGGGGGGGGCCACACACTAATCAGGACGCAACATTACCCCTGGTGAACATCAAAATAGCTGGTAAATGGATGTTCATCCCCTAAAAATGGTATTAATATGTATTAATAGGTATTGATCCATACCCATATCCAGTGGGAGAATCGTCTTGTTCGGGGTTCATCAACCTTCGGTGCAGCGCGGAATTTTCCCTGCAACAGTCGGCCCTTTGGACTGTCACTTCGCCTCAGTCGAGCCATTGTCATTGCGACTCCTAAAATGGTAAAATGGATGTGACCGAACATCATTCAACGTCTTGTACTGGATGCAGTCAACGATGGGACATCGCACAAAAGGATGCAATAGCAGGTATGCAGCGCAAAAAATAGGTATGTAATGCAATGAAATTCAATGTATAATTTATATGTAATGTATATGTAAAGTATATGTAATGTATATGTAATGTATATGTAATTTATATGTAATGTATATGTAATGTATATGTAATGTAGATGTAATGTAGATGTAATGTCGATGTAATGTAACGTCACTTTGTGTATTGTACTCAGGAACAGGCGACAGTTCAGGGCACAGCTCTGACATGAAAGATCTGGAAGGACTCCGGGTGGGCAAACCGCCACCTCGCAGCCGCTCATAGCACATGTCTACAGTATACAATTGAAACTATATAAGGGCATAAATGGGTATTAATTTATATAAATAATAATATATATAACTTATAACTATAACTAATTATACATGTTTGTTTTTACCAGGTGTTCCACTTCAATGGTGTATTTTCCCAAACTCTTTCATGTCAAACTATTATCGAGGCCCAGAACTAAGGCAAAAGTTGGTTGCAAAGGATGGTGTCCACGCATCAGCATGATACTTTCAATATCTGGACAAAAACACAACGTGGAAGTGGAGTTCACTTTCTGACCCCAAAAAAACTCTTGACACCTATTGATGTCTCCAGGAAACCAGCCTCCGTTTTGCGACATCTCTAATATAATATAATATAATATTATATTATAATATAATATAATATAATATAATATAATATATATATATATACACCCATATGATTTCCACCATAGGCTAGAACCCCTACCATAACATCAGAACACATCAACAGGGGTCACCATGGTTCAGCCCTGAGCGCTTGGACTCTTCCAACCAGCAATGTTCCACCTCGCCGGGGACGAAACCTTTGGTATACAACTCTAGGAAACATGTGGTTAACCATTAACTCTCAAAAATGTAGTGAACTATCATGTGGTTGGGAAACTCTGATTGTAGCTCCTTGGCATTCCTTGGCTACCCATTCAATAGGAAAGGTAATATGACGTAGTATGATGTAAGATGAATACCATTGAATACCCATAGCCGAACCGCTCCCTCCATTCACCACTGGATCCCCCACCACAAGCTACTAGTGAAACATCATGTTTCAGCGAAAGAATCTTCCCCAGAAACACGGATTGGCGAAGCTCATCAGAATTTGTTAATGGCTGTAAATGAATGTAAATGACACTCTTTTGAGGCCTTCTTACTTCTTACTAAGTCTTACAGTGTACTTTGGGATAGTAGGGACATGTCAGAGACCACTAAGGATCAAACTGACATGTAGAGTTCTTGTAGTGTCCAAATAAGCTGGACATCTATTGCCCCCATTCTCAGCAGCTGATTCGTTTGGGACATCACCAATGATGCAAACTCTTGGAATGTCAACCCCAGGCTAAACCCTGGTGCGTATATAATCTGCACTGCCATCAAAATAAACACACTACCACGGTTTGTTCATCTCTGGTGGACACGTCCAAAAAAGCATAACATTGCTTTAAGATGCTTTAAGCTTGAAACAAAAGACTCGGTCCTCCCTTAGGCCGGGAGGCCAGTGTGCAATGCTGACTCTTCAAAGCCAACGACTGGGGGATCATATAGTCTATATATTTTTTCACCAATATCAATCTGTAGAATGATATGATAGACCATCAAACTTAGGTGTAGGTACCCTCATTTTCAGACAAACCCAAACACGAAACAAATTCAAGAAACACCCCAATACTACCAGCCACAATGGCCTCCTAAAATAGGTGCTGTTATTCAAAGTGCCCTCAATCCACTAGAAACATTCATCATTTACATACATTATTTTACCTGGTAACATGGTGATTTTGTGGGGGTATACGGATATACCATGGTATACCACCATTTTCAGATACAGTGGCGCGTTCCATCACCGGTCACCGGCGTCACACCCCTGCCTTCGGGCGAGCCAGCGCAAAACGACTTCTCGGTGGCGTAGCGTGTCCAAAGGCCCCTGACGCGCGGCAGATTGGAGCGGTTGCAGCGGTTGCCGAGACCGAGATTCAACAAAAGTAGCACCCACCAAGAAAAGATGCGGAACAGGATCGATCGATCGCTTTTTTGGGATTGGAGCTGGCTTTTGTTTTTATCTTTTTCGAGGGGTGCTACTAACATATATATATATATAATGGAGGAAAATCAAAGACATTTCATCCCGGTTGACTCTTCTGCGGGAAATAAAGGGAAACATGGATTCAGAATAAAGATGGGTATGGGTTAGAGTTGCGTAGCTCAAAAAATAAAATACTAAGCATATAGAACATATCTGCAGTCTCCTGGGCCAAAAAAATTCTCACCATCAGAGGAGTCAAAACTATGTTCAAAATTTGACCTCCATTACGACCCATTACCAAGGCTCCCCCAGCTTCGACACACAATGGATTGGTTTAAGGGAAAATTTACAGGAAACCCCATATTTAATGGGAAAATCTATGGTTTCCTGTAGATGTTCCCTTAAACCAATCCATTGAGACCCACTCCCAAATTGCATTTTGTTCTAGGCTTCCCAGCCCACGCAGGTACTATGTAGGGCTGCGTGTACTCCTCAACGCCCTCGTTTCGAGTCACCTGCAAAGACTCAGTGGACGCCGTCGGTAGGTTATCCCCAACAAGATTGAGTTCGGGTAGATCATCATCAAACAAAATACTGGGAATCATGGGTCATCATAGTTTTATTTATATCTAAATCGTGTCTAACTATAATATATACCTATTATATATATATATATATACATAATGAATATATGCATAATATGTGTGCATGCAATGTACATATGTACGTGTGTGTATATGTGCGTATACATGTCATATGTATCTAGTGGGAAACCCGATCCGCAGGTGGACGGCAAGTTTTCACCACCGCACCGAGGCCCATAGCCAATCTTAAAAATGGCTAAACATGACTCAATGCACTCAACTACCCATCACTTTCCGCATATCTTTGATACAGAATAATTCACCATACTATCATGCTTAAGCCATGTTCAATCTGTTTTGTTTCATGTTTTCCATGAGTTTTGATAGTTTTTCATGGAACAACTAGTTGTCCTCAAGGTCTTTCCAACACAAACATGCTGCATCTCGGGTGCCTGCAGAAGCACCTGATTCGCATCAGATCTCAAGGCATCGCCCAACTGGCGGAATTGGTCAACCCCGGATGAATAAAACACCAGGCTGTTTCATTGGGGGGGTACCACCTGGAAGTGTCAGCATTTCTTTTTCATTTTGAGACGTTGAAATTGTTGTTTCTGTGTCTGCAGCTGCGTCGAGGTGGAATTTGGGTCTTAGATGTGCAGGGTGATGCGAGCATGTTCGGGTTCAACAAAATATGTTCAACCCCCAGTTGTAGCCACATGAGTCCAAACCAAGGGATACTGTACTGTAAATCATACTAACCATATACCAAACACGACCAACATATATATATATGATTTCCTGTACTAATGGGCCCCGGCCACTCAGAAAAGGGTCCCATGACAACACTCAACTCCTCCCCAACTATGTCTGTTTCCACTGCCAAATACAGCATGTGTAACAAGAATCCTCTTCGATATAAATTAATAAGCTACAGTTTCATACTAATTTCGATATACCCTCCTGTAAACTAACATCGAGTTGAAAAACCCACCATTTGTAGATCATATTCGAAGGGAAAACAATGAGTCTTCCACATCTATTTTAGTTTACCCTATACTATACGGTATGTTGATGTTGAATGAGCATTCTTCAAAACCCCACTGCCATTCCATTTCATCCTGGTTGGTTGATGGGGATTCCCCGTTCTTGGATTATTCTAACTCCCAATATATATATATATATATACACAAATTATATGTATGTATGTATGTATGTATGTATATATGTATGTATGTATGTATGTATGTATGTATGTACGTATGTACGTATGTACGTATGTACGTATGTACGTATGTACGTATGTACGTATGTACGTATGTATGCATGTATGCATGTATGCATGTATGCATGTAGGTATGTAGGTATGTAGGTATGTAGGTATGTAGGTATGTAGGTATGTAGGTATGTAGGTATGTAGGTATGTAGGTATGTAGGTATGTAGGTATGTAGGTATGTATGTATGTGTATGTATGTATGTGTATGTATGTATGTGTATGTATGTATGTGTATGTATGTGTATGTATGTGTATGTATGTGTATGTATGTGTATGTATGTGTATGTATGTGTATGTATGTGTATGTATGTGTATGTATGTGTATGTATGTGTAGGTATGTGTATGTATGTGTATGTATGTGTATGTATGTGTATGTATGTGTATGTATGTGTATGTATGTATGTATGTATGTATGTATGTATGTATGTATGTATGTATGTATGTATATGTATTTATATCATATATCAATTTATTGGGTAGTATCATCCACTATAATCATCAACCGACAGGGGGAAGATCGCAGCCACTGATCTCCACGGAACTGGGCCCCCCCAACATGTGCCAAGGCGTTGCCGTTCAGTGCTAACGCCTGCAAATTTTACGCGATGGAAAATTCGCCCAAAATTTGGGGATTCCGCAGATTCCCTGGGATTTCAGTGACTTTTTTGATGTTTTTTCATAAAACAAAGACCTCAAAACTGCTGAGTGTTTCCGCTTACCAAACAGTTTTACCACTGAGATCAGGCCAGCAACATTTACCAAAGTTGGTGATGTGTCCTTAGTAAACTTACCCACTCACCATCCCCATTAGGGGGGTCTATTGTTGGGGTATCTGTTTGGGATAGTTTAAAACACTAAGAATTTCCAGATGGTTAGTCCTTGGCTTTGTCGGGTTTACCTTGTTTATGCAGCTTATTTTGTGTATAGTGATTGTAAAAAGGGTCTGCTGTCTCATTCATCTCTCCCTGTCCACTCCCATTGTTCAATTCTCGACCCCAAATCATGTTGTTCTGGGATTGATTTTGGAACCAGCCTCACTTGCGCCCATCAAAACGACTCACTTGCGCCCACATTCATGTATACCTATCTTCATGTACATAAACTTATCTTTTTAGAGGACATGGGGGGCCCTTGGGGTTGGGGGGGAACTTGGGGAATAGGAGAGAGGGAGTAGGTATCAGAGTGTACATAAACAACCATTTAGGGTTTATCTTTTTAGGGGACATGGGCGGGGGACTTGGGGTAGACGCTCAATATGCTACGTTGATGACATGTTGAAGCAACATGTAAGACAGCCTTGATGCTATATTAAAAACATGTTGGCGTAACGCGGAAGACGCTCAATATGCTACGTTGATGACATGTTGAAGTAACTTGGAAAACGCCCTTGATGCTATGAGGTTAACGTGTTGAATTAACTTGGAAGACGCTCGTGATGCTACGTTGATAACATGTTGAAGTAGCTTGAAAGACGCTCTGAATGCTACCTTGATGACATGTTGAAGTAACTTGGAAGACAGCCTTGATGCTATATTTAAAACATGTTGAAGTAACCTGGAAGACGATCTTGATGCTACTTTGATGACATGTTGAAGTACCTTGGAAGACACCCTTGATGCTAGGAGGATCTAGGAGGTGTGTGTGTGTGTAGAAGCCATGAAAAAATTGGCAAGATGCTTCTAGTCGCTTGCTCTTGAACACGCTAAACTTGTCGAGCGATGCTGTTTCCCTCAGCCCTGCTGCGTAAAATGACTGAAAGGGGCTGTGCGGGCACAAGCGAGACAAATCGACGGGCACAAGCGAGGCCGTATCCATGATTTTCCCTGCTTACCACAAGTAAATTAATGGTAACTTGACTAATTTCACCCCTATACTATAGCCGGGATATCATATGAGGTACACCACTTACATCCACTTACTACTTCAATGTGTTTTTAAGAACAGAATATGGGGAAATTGTGTATGTATATATATATATACATACACTGGAGGATATCCCAAACGGATTCGCATAACAGCAAAATCACAGGTCACTTGGGCTATTACCAAAAGCCCATTCTGGAATTGTTCTACTGGATGGGTTATAAAAGCAACCCCCAGGAGATTATGGGGAAAAAACATCTACATGAAATAAAAAAACATCCTGTCCTGGTTTCAATCTGTTTGGCATCTTTTTTGGGTGTTGCAGCGCACCAGCCGCCTGAAACGCGATGTTTGGATCGTTTCGCAGCAGCCGCGCAGCATAGCCGAAGGCGTTACCGTTTTGGGCCACGGCAGGCAGGACTACCTCAGCACAAGCTCCACATTGGAATTTACCCAAGCAAATCGGAATGAATAATTCGTGTATGTTTTTACCACATGGGGTGATCCCATTTGACTTTCCAGACAATGCTTGCATTTTCCCTAAAGATCTGGAGAGAAAAACACCAGAATAGTAGCATGAAGTAAGCGACACAGAGGCCATCTCGGATCAAACACACTATACAATGGGCTGGTGGTTTCCAAGACATTGAATTTGTCCAGTCCTGGAAAGATGATTGGTTTTAACTCGAAACTTTGTGAACGGAGCCTTGGAACAATACCTCAGAGCTGTGTTTTCTCAGAGCGATGGAGATGGGGCCCTCATTGTGAGGCAAGCAATCGATATCTCAATTCCATGCAATGGAACAAAGTGGAAATAATGAAAAAAAGGAGTATATATATATATATAAGAGATATATGAAATATAGTGGAAATCCACATGGCACTTTGGAAATCATGCAATGACATATCATATAATATCAGGTTTCCAAACCAGGCATATGGAAGCCTTGATAGCTTTTATGGGAGTCCAAGGTGGCAGTTCGATACCCAGGGCTTGGGTGGTTTGAGAGGTTGTTTTCTTTCCCACTACATTATATATATATATGTACATAGTTTTAAATTACCACATTCTTGACTATGTTTGATGTTTCATATTTATATTGTTATATAATGCCATATATATAATATACATATAACATATAGTATAACATATACATATAATCTATATGTATAATATATATATATACACGATATATTATTATTATTACTATTATAATATAATATATATATATATATATTAAATGTGTTTTCTATTTAATATAAAATGTATACTGCACTATACTATAATAACATATAATATATAAAATAAAACTAAATAATATGTATATGTATTATATATTTTATATATATATTTATTGTACAAAAAACATAAAATATATATTGTATATATATAAGACCACACACGTAACATATAATATATTGTATGATTATATATTACATATAATATATATATATAATACAATTCACAACAATAAAATATTATATATATAATGTTACAAAATATGTTATTTAATATATTTAATATTATGATATATATATATAATATGAACAAATATATATATATAATATTTATAATATATATATAAATCATATTATAATATATTTATATCAATAAAATAATTTAATATAATAATATATAAAAGGGGTTATCAACAAAAACTGGCCACAGTGTATCCACAAACCCAGTTGCATCGGCATCGGCTCGGACATCGGGATGAGCGAACTGCAAGGACAGGCCATTTTGTTTCACCGCCTCTGAATCGGCGGATTTCAAGGTGCGGAATGCCTCCTGATAACCCAAAAAAAAGCCAAAGAAAACCCCCAAAC